TTATCATCCTCAACAAATACGAAAATTTTAAGGTTTGCTCTTCAACATTTAAAATTATTCTAGATGTGTAACATTTTTTTATTAGATGGATAACATTTTTAAAAAGAAATATTCTTGACAGGATGGTAATATGTTATAAGTAATTATTAGCGTTATTCATTAAAGGTAAGTATTATTTAATTGAATGTCGTAAAATATATTATTATTTAATTAATAAAAACTATACCTATTTGTAATGTTTTTTTTATTTTTTATTATTATTTCCAATGGCAGTCCAATTTAAAAGAACAAAAATGATAAAATAACTAGAAAAACAAGGCAAAAAGAGATAAATAGAATTGAATGCATAGTGACATGCTTAGCCCATACGGGCCCTAGCTTCCCAGTAGCGTCCACACACAGTAGAGGAGATGAGCGCAGGACAGACGGAAATATGGGGCAAGTCCATGTCCTCCCCAAGGCGACAGAGCTTGCATTTAGGAGAGCCAAAAATGTTTATACTTAAAAGGTGTTTGGCCAGACAGTCATGGCCCGTTACAAGTCTAAAGAGAGCGACTGCCGTAAACCTGGGCTGATTTGGGATAGTTAAAATATGGTTGAACCAGGTTTTGTGTATATTGCTTGTACGGAAATTCTCTGAGAGCATGTTCCGGAATTGGTTTCGGACCAGCAATTTAAATGAGTGCAGAGAGATGGAGCAACGAGATGCTTGGGCAATAGTTGTTCCTTTCTTGGCCAAGAAATCAGCTTTTTCATTACCCCAAATCCCGCGATGTCCCGGGATCCCTTGGAAGACGATTTGCTTGCCTTTCAGTGTCAGGTCTTTCAGACAATCAATGCATTTCTGAATGGAGATGGATTGGGGAATCAGTGGAGAGTTAATATCAAGAAGTGCTGCTTTAGAGTCAGATAAGATGACGGCTCTAGAAAATTGGTCAGTACGACACTGTAGTTGTTTCAGGGCAATTGGAATAGCCTCGATTTCACCGTCGTATGTGTTTTTAAAGTTTGTTTTATGTATATTGGATAAAAAGTGGAGTTATTGATTTACAAGTATAAAAATTATGTTTTGAGAAAATGTCATTTAAAGTATAAAAATATGTTTTTAATTTTCATGCTCTTTAATACAAAGTGTATTGCATATTTTTCATTTCTATGAGTTTTAGTTTAAGTATTTAGAAAAAAAAAAAAGTTTTCGAAAGTAGGTATTATGCTGCGATATAAAATAAAGAAAAAAATTCTTTTCTAGTTCAATTTTACTGTTAATCTTATTAAAATATTTAAAATTTTATGTGAAAAATAGATACTTTTAAAGAGAATATTTAAAAATTTTTCAAAGCTCAATTCAATTGCAAGGAATGTTATTTTTTTCTTTTAGTATCAATATTCTATCTGAAAAATGTTGCTTTACCTTTTCAATTTTGAACCACAACCTATTATTTATAACATACTTAAATAACACGCTTGATTTTGACACTCGTGAACAATGTAAATGTAATTACATTGGGTATTCTATTATAATAATCTTTATTACACGTTTTAAAATCTCAAATATGAAGTGAAAGACTTACAAATTAAGAGGCACAAATTAATATTCAAGCGAGGTCAAAAAAGAAACGCTATCAAAATCTAATTATCATTATTGAGGAAAATGGAACTGCTAAAATCGAAACCTGTTTGATTGCTGGAAGAAACCGAAAGAAGTTGATAAACGATTACCAGAAACATCTTCAAGTTTCATATATGGCAACATAACTGCTTTTGATATTTTTTAATACCGACTTTTTCGTCATTCGGAAGATTTCTAGCACGGCTTTCGAGATTGAATATTATTCTGCGCCTTCTAATGTGCAAACTTTCTTGACTTCGTTTTTGAAGAGCATTCCGGAAGTATATAGATTAAAGGCTTTCGTTGCGGAACACCCCTCATAGTTACTAATTACCTAAAAATAATCAAATTAAAAAAAAAGTAAGAAAAGGACACAAAACGTCTGTTGTTATCAAACACAAGTTTTACTTTACACATCAGTAAAAGAATACCACATTTCAAATTCATATTCAAATTTTCACAATCTTTTTTATTTGAAACACTTCAGTTATTGTTTCATGACCATAATTTTTCTTATTTAAGAACATGATTCACGAAATTGTAATTACATTATTATGGAATATGAGCACGGTATTTCATAACTACACAATTTTAAACACAGCCTAAAACTATGGTAAACCTTGATTCAAATATAGGAACACAGATGACTATGCAGATTTTTTTTTATTCAAGTGATAAAGTATTGCTATTTGTTTCGTTAACAAGGAAATTACAAAATTTTTTATTCTTCTTCTAGAAATGTTAGAACGTCTGTCAGTAATGATGATGGTACAGTTATAGGAGAGTTACAAATCTAACTTTTGGCATTGGTATTTTTCTTGATTGATATATTAGAAATAAAATCATCACAGATGCTTTTACTTTACCATTTAAATGTCTTTTTTGCTTATCTACGCGTTTATATGCTTGCTTATTTGATACGTTCTGGATAAAAATTAAGTATAAAAGTATTATGCATAGAAATTAACAAGAAAATACTTAAAAGGGTATTTCTGGGACTTTTGCTTATAGCTTAATTTTGTGCATGTCATTTCACTGTCTATTGTTTGATGTTCTACAACATTCAATCTTGATGTAAGTAAACTCTAATACCATGGATATATGTTACATTTATGGCTCTAAATACATTATATCTGATATCTTGATTGTTTACTGAAAGCAAAAATAACGTTATGTCGAGCTTGAACCTATTTTATTAAAGACTAGTCCACATCTTCTATCTGGGACTTTTTCAAGCGTTTATGAACATATTTTTGTTCATTAGAGGCTTTCAGAAGTGTTTCTTTATTTTTCAATAGTATCGAAATAAATTGAAGATCTGGGAACATTGTGTTTATCCATCATCATAAATAAAGGTTGATAAAAGGAATACAATATGAAAAATGAAAAGCGTTTATGAACATATTTTTGTTCATTAAAGTCTTTCAGAAGTGTTTCTTTATTTTTCAATAGTATCGAAACAAATTGAAGACCTGGGAACATTGTGTCTTTTATCAACCTACATATATCCATGTAGGTTGATAAAAGGAATGCAATATGAAAAAGGAAAAGCGTTTATGAACATATTTTTGCTCATTAAAGGCTTTCAGAAGTTTTTCTTTATTTTTCAACAGTATCGAAATAAATTGAAGATCTAGGAACATTGTGCTTATCCATCATCATAAATAGGCTGATAAAAGGAATACAATATGAAAAATGAAAAGTAGATCATTCAAATGATGCAGATCAAAAGCAGATCATAGAAACATTTCTTTAGGAAAATCCAGGCAAACATTTGTGCAACAGAAACATTAAATCCTTATTCTATTAGTTATAGCGAAAACTGTATGCCGCTTCTTATTTATCTGTTGCCACGTAATAGTTCGCGACAATACAGATGGCAATACAAATGACAATACAGATGAAGAATTTTACAGTATTACTTTTTATTGCTTAGGTGTTTACAAATTTCATACAAATTGAACTAAAAGTTTCTTTCAAATATTTTCCAAAAAATTTAAATTTTACAAACACTCAGAAGCTTTTTTTAGTAAAAGTCCAGTTAAATTTAGGTTTATTGCGTGTGGTACTAATTGTTAGAATTCTGATTTTAGTAAAAAGTTTTTTAATTTTCTAAAAATTATTTTATTTAAAATTAAAAAAGAGAAAAATATTGCTATAAATAGTAATGTTGAAGTTTTGGATTATATTAGTAATAATGATATTTCTAGCATTAATACTTTTGATTTTGAAAATTTGTAATCCATTGTTTTCTTTATTGCTTCAATTATCTGTTGCCACGTAATAGTTAACGACAATACAGAGGACAATACAAATGACAATACAGATGAAGAATCTTACAGTATTTCTCTTTATTACTTACGTGTTTACAAATTTCATACAAATTGAACTAAAGTTTTTTCTTAACTACTTTCCAAAAAATTTAAATTTTACAAACACTCAGAAGTTTTTTTTCTAGTAACTTACATAAATTAACTTTCCTGTATTTAGGTAAATTCCTCAATAAATTTAAGTGACGTTTATAAAAAATTGTTTTTTTAGCATTAAACTGATCATTTATTAATCATATCTTCATTAAATCTTGTATTAAATATTGAATTCTCGTTAAATAAGGACTCTCAATAAAAGAGTTTGGCTGTTTCTAAGTGATTTTGGTATCTGTTACATAATGATTAGTTTTGTTCAAAACTCAATGTATTCGTTAAAGAAAATCATTTTAAACTTTGTGTTATTTTTCACCATTCATTTTATAGTCTTTCATTTTATTATCTTCTGTGTTCTCAAATAAAATTTGCTACATTTTTTTATTAATGCAATAGCGAGAATAAGACATCGAATAAAGAATTCCTTCAATTGTAAACAGGTTGAAAACAAATTTTAATATTTTAATGAAAAGTCAAATACATCTTTTAAGTGCCATAGCTGAGATTAAAGCATTTCGGATTTAAGTTTCAGGATATTGTCTTAAAATTGTTTTATAAACAAATAAACAAGGCTTTCAGATTGCGCAAGAAAAATCACAAATAATAATGACACTTTTATTTTTTATTGTTTTAACAATTATTATTTCGTTGTTGTCTAATTGCTGTCTAGTTCACTGAAACTGTTTTTCTAAATATTACCTAAAAAAGAGAGAAAAAAAAAACTCGAGCATTTTAATTATTTCTGATAATTCGAAACTTTCAACGTTTTTTTTTCTTTGCATTGCTGCTAAAAATAACATAACAAACAAGTAGCTTATCCTCTGAAAAATACCTTGATATTTTTTATTGATCCCAGAAGTGATTGCACTGAATGTTATCTTTTTTTACACTTCTTACAATAGAAATAGTGATCTTTAAATTAAAATCAGTGTTTTATACAATACTAAGATAAAGTGCGATAAGTGATTAGAATTTCAGTTGTTTTATGTCACTCCCTTAATCACCTGGGAAGGGGCGTCAGATATATTCGAAGTGCATTTTCTGTTCAGCAATTAGTGCAACTCGTCATCTCTTCCTTCTTCTTTATTCAAGAATAGCAGAAAATGGGGAATTTCTTTAAAACGAGAAGTAAGTAAATAGTTTTATAAAATTTGGTGAAAATGTTTGCATATATTTGGAAAAGATTGCACGTTTATTTCATATTAGAATCTCTTTGATGTTTTAACAATTATGATACAATAATTGGGATTTTATAAACTAATTTTTTTATTATTAATATCAAAACTAGTTTACTTCAGTTCAATTAATAATCGAATGTTTGCAATAAATTTTATATTTGATGCTATAATGCACTTAATGTAAGTTTATTCTTCAGCAAAAATTCGTAAAGTAATTTCTCACGTAATTAAAAACTTGATTATTGTAAAGTGTGCGCAAAAAAATTGGATCGTTTTAAATAACTTTTGATCTAAAGATCGGATCTTCTCGTATTAAGACTCAATATTAGTGGTTCGAGAGAGTGATCTCAAATATGTTAATTATTTAATGCAGATGATATTTCAAGTTAGGATATTAGACGCAAAAATTACTTTCTCTAAACAAACACAATATATTTTTTTAAAAGGATTTGGTTTTCTGACTCTCAAAATATAGGAGGTAGCCGCAATTTGGAAAATATGGTCCTCATAATTTGGTAAAGGGAGAGTTCCAAAGTTTAAACCCTTTTATGTTAAATATACTTTTTGCATATTACGCCATATGTTACGAATTATTTAAGGGAATCGAAAACATTTTGCAACTAATTATAAAAGTTTTTTTTAAAAAAATTTACGGCGCAGGCACTAAACTTTCGTTCTTCACTTCGGAAGATACAGGAAGTGTTGCTCATTTATTATCTCGTATTTCGGATCTTCTCGTATTAAGACTCAATATTAGTGGTTCGAGGGAGTGATCTCAAATATGTTAATTATTTAATGCAGATGATATTTCAAGTTAGGATATCAGACACAAAAATTACTTTCTCTAAACAAACACGATAATTTTTCTTTAATGGATTTGATTTTCTGACTCTCAAAATATAGGGGGTAGCCGCAATTTGGGAAATATGGTCCTCATAATTTGGTAAAGGGAGAGTTCCAAAGTTTAAACCCCTTTATGTGAAATATACTTTCTGTATATTAAGCCATATCTTACGAATTATTTAAGGGAATCGAAAACATTTTGCAACTAATTATAAAAGTTTTCTTTTTAAAAAATTTACGGCGCAGGCACTAAACTTTCGTTCTTCACTTCGGAAGATGCAGGAAGTGTTGCTCATTTATTATCTCGTATCTCGGATCTTCTCGTATTAAGACTCAATATTAGTGGTTCGAGAGAGTGATCTCAAATATGTTAATTATTTAATGCAGATGATATTTCAAGTTAGGATATTAGACGCAAAAATTACTTTCTCTAAACAAACACAATATATTTTCTTAAAAGGATTTGTTTTTCTGACTCTCAAAATATAGGAGGTAGCCGCAATTTGGAAAATATGGTCCTCATAATTTGGTAAAGGGAGAGCTCCAAAGTTTAAACCCTTTTATGTTAAATACACTTTTTGCACATTACGCCATATGTTACGAATTATTTAAGGGAATCGAAAACATTTTGCAACTAATTATAAAAGTTTTCTTTTTAAAAAATTTACGGCGCAGGCACTAAACTTTCGTTCTTCACTTCGGAAGATACAGGAAGTGTTGCTCATTTATTATCTCGTATTTCGGATCTTCTCGTATTAAGACTCAATATTAGTGGTTCGAGAGAGTGATCTCAAATATGTTAATTATTTAATGCAGATGATATTTCAAGTTAGGATATCAGACGCAAAAATTACTTTCTCTAAACAAACACAATATTTTTTTTAATGGATTTGGTTTTCTGACTCTCAAAATATAGGGGGTAGCCGCAATTTGGGAAATATGGTCCTTGTAATTTGCAAAGCTTAAACCCCTTTATGTTAAATATACTTTTTGCATATTAAGCCATATGTTAGGAATTATTTAAGGGAACCGAAAACATTTTGCAACTAATTATAATTTTTTTTTTTAAATTTACGGCAGGCACTAAACTTTTGTTCTTCACTTCGGAAGATGCCGGAAGTGTTGCTCATTTATTATTACCCAGTGGGCACCTGTGAACTAAGTCACGGAGGTGAGCAACATTACTCACGCCATACTGCCACGGATACCCGTTTTTAAAGGGTAGGCGATATTCACACAACAGAGAGAGAAAGAGGGAGAAACATCCATACCCTGAGCGGGATTCGAGCCCACAACCATTGGCCTCACAGTCAGGCACGCTAACCACTCGGTCTCCTGTCCAGTAAAAATTTGATTTTTTGACCCTGACGTGATTTCAACGCTCTACCTTCTGATCAGGGGTCAAACGTGCTACCGTTGTGCCATCGGGCCTCATAATTATAAAAATCGCTTATCAAAAGATAATTTCATACAAAAAATAATTTTTAATAATTACTTATTATTTTCATTTTATTTAATAATATTTAATTATAAGAATTTTCCCACAATTTTAATGATTGTAATTTTATATGTCAAAATACAAAGCTTGAAACTAATAGGTCGAAAATGTTATGAGAAATTGAAACTTAAATATACGACTTTTTTAAAATTCATTTTCTCAAGAACGTGGAGGAATGGTGCCAAATATTTCTCAGGAAGTCAGTTTCCACCATTTTTGGTGCTAAGGTACACAAAAATTTCTTACAGTGTTGAACTATTCGATATCAGACTTCTATGCCGTCCTGTAGTTTTGAAATATGTATATGAAATATGTGTTATTAGGAATTATGAAAGAGTTTTGAAAATTTAGTGAATTACAGCTAATGATCTCAGAAATATTCAGATAATTAATCTATTTTGTTACATTCGTATTGCACAAGGCAATTATAATTGTCCTAAAAATGCTTCAAAACTCTTTATAAGGTAATAAAGTACAGTCATAATTAAATCTTTTCATTTCCATTTCTGAGATAACTTGCAAGGATTGAGAATGCGTTTCAGTCAGTTTCAAATGACCTTAAAAGAGTGCTCTGTGTTTTCATTTATTTATTTTATTGTGAACAGAAAACTAACCTATTGGAGTATAAACACCAAAAAATCATAATTATAATTTCTTTTAGCGAAATGCAAATAGCTAATTACCATAATGAATGGATTTCTTTATATCGTAATCCGAACTCGTATCGTAATTCTTTATATCGTAATGCCACACTGAGATACGAGCCCTAGCCTTTGGGACATGAAAATTATCCTTTAATTATTAGATTGCCTTAAACACAAATGCTACATTGTGAGATAATGTCGTTCAGGCTCATGGCTAACTTTGAAAGGCTTTTTAAATTACATTTCCGTTTATGTTATATAAAATTATAGAGTAAGCAAGTATAAAAAATGGTGGTTGAATTACATAATCACCATATTAAATTGCAACAACTCTCAACGATATTATTTCAGAAATATATTTTTAAATGTATAAGTAGTATTATAGTACTTATATAGCCTCTTTAAATAAACATGTTCTTTTTTTGAATTGAACTAGATTTAAATTAAAAAAAAAAATATGTGGGTAACCGAAATGAAGTAATCTCCTTTGTTCATAATTAGTATTATTGCGATTTTTATTTTTTTGACAGCTTACATGTCGTTTTCTATTACAATCTGCATACTTTTTTAAGCAAATGAAGTTTTTATATTATCAAGTAAGAACTTAGTTTATCAGAGATTCTTGTTTTCTGCCAGTATTTTTACAGAAATGTATTTATTAATTGGAATTTAGTAAATTTTATTCATTAAATCTTCAACAGTCGTGACTTTGCTCTGGTACTTAACTGGGCAGTTCCAGGATATGACATTCTAAAGATAAGAAGGATAAAGTTAATTATTCATTTACTTTCATACTAAATTATTAAACTATTCATTTTAAACTATATAATAAATTCCTTTGTGCCGTACATTTTATTTTTTAAACATTTACAGTGAAAATGCTTTTCTGGATCTTATTATATGTTTATTTTCAACAGCTAGTCAGCCTACTGGGTATTCTATCTATTATTGTATTTAAGTGACCTTTAATAATACCTTTTCTTTTTGACAGTTGATAATTGATATTTATTTCATGAAACAAAGCGCATAAATGTGCTATCTTTAAGTTGTCTTATCGATACATGTTACGTTATCTGCATGTATGAACAAGGTTGGCATTAAAATAAAAGGCGTTATCCTGAAGTTTATTTCTGTAATTGTTATTTATTCATGTCATAGAACATAATCACTTCTTATCAAGCAGTTTTCCTTGAATATAATCTAGCGGTTATTACTTATCAAAAAGTTCGTTTGTTTCAAGAATTAGTAAGACAAATTTATCTGTATAAATATTTGAGGATTTTTAATTTACTCAATTCTGGAATCAATATGAGAAAATTAGAAAAAAAAATTAAAGTATAAAACAAATAAGTCTCTTACCATTATTATATTTTTTCTACATTAGAGAATACTCGACAGTACAGAAGTTTTAAATAGATTTCTGTATTGTCTATTGATCCCCCTTTTTATTGGGAAATGCAGCATTTCAAATTCATGCTCTAGAAATATTTTTAGCATCAAATTACGCTAGAAAACGATCCTGGAAATTCCACAAACCCAGTTTGCAAGCTTTTGCTCGGGAAAATATTACCAAAATTCTTCGAAAGCTTCTAAAGTTGATGGTGATTTTAATAAAATTAGAAAAAAAACTAAACGCTTCAGACAGTTATTTTCAAGACATAGATTACCAAATTCAATCACATATTCATGGAATTAAAAAAGATTAAAAACTTTTTAGGGAATTCATAGAAATAAAAAAGCAAAATTAACTTGATTTCCGCACTGAGAACAGCAGTATAAAAAAGCCGATTCCAGCACACAGGCGGAGCAGGCGGCTCAGGCGGAGGCCGAGTTGAGTTATTTCCCTCCTGCTGCTGAGTTGAGTTGTTCACCTCCTGGTTTAGTTTTGGTTTCGGTTTCCGAAATTTATAACATCCGGTGGCAACACCTTGTTTAGTTTTGGTTTCAGTTTCCAAAATTTTTAACTTCCGGTGGCAGCACCAGATTTAGTTTCGGTTTTTAAAAAAGTAGCATATCACCTATTTCTGCCTGCTTGAACTTCTTTTTTTAGTTTTAGTTTTGATTTCAGTATCATTTCTAAGCGATGGCAACACTCATTAATTTAGATTTGTTATTAAAAGATGGCAACACTCAATCTGTTTACAAACTAAGCAGGCGGAGCAGTTTCGGTTTCCAAACAAATTCGTTCCATACTCGTAGCTCCATCTAGTGATTAAAACAATTATTAATTTTTGCACATTATAGATGTGTGATACTCGTGGCGCTATCTAGGTTAAAAAGTCATAATTATACATAATTTAAAAATAATAAATGTTTAAAAATAATATTTGGTAATAAAATTATTTTCTTTTTCGACTTGGGATTTGAACCAGCAACCTCCAGGACAAAATGCTTCCATTGGATACTGATTTGTCAGGCACGCTAACCAGTATCCAATGGACGCATACAAAACGAAAGGAAACTTACGGTCTTAAAATAAATTTAAACTCGCTGACGGTTATGGATAAAAACTTAGTTTCATGTATTCTTATTCTTGAAATGGCAATGCCAATAATTAAATTAAAATAATTTCCACTTGCAAGATTTTTATTTATTTCATTTCTTAGCAGTGGCAGCACCTTCATTATTGTGGTGGGTTACTCAAAAGAGTCATGAAATTGTGGAAGGCGGAGCAGGCGGTGGAAAAATTAAAATGAAATATGAATGAATGTTTTTACATAGAATGAAATAAATAAAAGAAATTAAATAGCGTTATAGTTAATTAGAAATGATTCTGGATACTATTTAAAAAAATTATATTTTAAACGTATAAATGAATAAAAAATGTAGTTGAAATGAATAAAAATTTTTAATACCCAAAATAAATTAAGATTTTTATTTTTTAAAATGTTCTGAAGATGTCATAGTAGCTCAAACCACTATCTCATTAATGCATTGAGAATAATAAAAAGAAGAAAAACAATACTTTATTTGAGAAACATTATCATAGTAGCAAAATCTGAGAAAAAAATTATGCAGTTGCCTTAAGTTAAATTTAAAGTTTATTTCCTAAATAAAAATAAACTTTTACTTCACCTGTAGCATGAAATACGCCATCTACTTATGATGTAGGAATAGAGAGAAATCGATTAAAAAACAAACAAATTTTCATTCATAACAAATCACACATCATTTTTTATTTGAGACATACATAAAACTATGTAATCATTAAACTAATTTATCAAAATATAAGAAATATGTAACATATGTATAGATATAGAAACATTCATAGGTTTTTCTTCTTCATGAATTCAAGGCAAAATTACTCATCAGTTATTTCTTCATTTCTTAATTTGTAGTGTCCATGAGCAAGAGTCGTAATGCCATCTTCCAAAATATGCCTCTTTTCGTCGTTAAAAGATAAAGCAAGTTTATTTTGATGCACAGAATGAATGTTATGGTGTTTAGAACGAATAAAATTCATTTCTGCATAAAGATTTTTTTTGCTAAATAAGCAATCAAAATAATCGTGAAATGTTATTTTATTTTTGAGGGTTTGTTTTTTAATTCCTTTCAATCGCTTTTCTGTTTTTTCTTCAGTTTTGTAGGCATACATTTTTGATTTTAATCCAATGAATTCGGACATTATCCGACCCTTGTTCTCATCTTTCATCTTTCCGAGGACTTTTTTATTTATTAGTGGTATGTTGTAAATGTTATTTATGTCATAGTCGGATGTATCATATAAGTTAATGTTATTTTTTATGTCTGCATACATATCCGAAGTTTGTACCTCATAAATAAAGGAATCTGTATCCGTGTACATCAGTCGAATGTTTGATCCGTACGTTTCTTTCATCGTTTCGTAATGGAAAGAATACATAAGAATTTTGGATGCTTCTAGAATAACCATGCCTATTTGAATAGGTTTAGAAAAATGAATTTTTGTTTTTTTCATATGCACAGCCATTAAATTTTCAGAAAAAATTGTTCTGTGCTCAAAATTTGGTTTTGCAATGAGTTTGCTTACTTGTTTGCTGGATGTGCACAATCTAATATTTACTCGACGCCTTATATTTTCCATTGTTTTTCCAAAAATGCTGTTGTTCATCAGTTTATAAAAGTCTTTATGGAAATCTGTTTTAGAATTGGTTCTTAATTTAGTGTTAAAATCTATATAACTCTGGAGCCATGGTGATTGATTAAATTGTAAAACTCTATGTATTTTAGTTAATTTCAGCCCTAATTTCAAGTACAGTTTCAAATTCTTATAATATATAACATATTTAAGTTTTGGCTCTAGAGTGGTTAAGAGGCGTGGTAATCTACAGTTAGGTGGTGGTTTGTTTTCAGGTGCGACTGGGAAATCAGAATGATGATCATGTAGCTCATCGGGATAATTCAGGTCAACCTCTAATATATAACCGATTTTTGAATCATCCGGAATTTTTTCTACATCTATATCTGTGCTGCACCATGAAAATTTATTCAAAGGCAAGCTCTGGCTCATCGCAAAACCATAGAGGTTATTTGCATCTAGATATATTAAAAATTTAGATTGTTCATTAGGATTAAAAGTATCCATGTACTTATTATTAGCTTTTGAATATCGGTTACAACATTGGCTTATTCCTCCCCTAATACCCTTTTCAATGAATAAAATCATATCATAATCCGTTATTAATTCTAAAGTTATTTTTGAATGAAATAACATTGCATCCCAGGAAAGAGCGGGAGCTGTGTAATACCAACACGGATCCAAATTATAAGTTTTTAAGCAAATGTTTCGAAAATTTTCAAATAAATCTGCTAATAAAAGTACATCTGTTTTAACATATAAATCACAATAGTCACCTAGTGTTATTAAATTAAATGTTTGGAAAACATTTAAGGCATGTCTATAATCATCCTCATTTATTTCTTCCTCATTAAGTTTATTGTAAAAGTTATCGCGTGATGGTAAACTAGTTTCATTGCATTTTTTAAAATCATCAAAATAATCATATGGAAAAATTCCTTTTCTAAGAAGTAAATCAATTTTATTAGATGGAAAATTAATGTTCATATGTTTAAATTCATTTTTACTTAAAGTAGATATTAAACTATCGAGACTTGCCGGCATGAACTTTAATGTATCAATAAAGCGAATGTGAAAATTTTTAGAAATTGTTTTTGAAAAGGAAATGTATCTCTCTTCGTTATTAGGTATTAAAAAAATGGGGAAATTATCATATCCTAACTCCTTTACAAATATATGAGCGTCGTAACCTGCCAAATTATGAAAGAAAACTGGTAAAAAATTTGGTACTCTCATTAGAAGGTTACATCTATTGCAACACGCACCGTTAAAATTTTGAGTAACGTGATTATGATCACGAACTTTTTTATTTTCGAAAGAAAAAGGTTCAGAACATGCGTAACAGTTCTTAGCATCATCAAAAAGTTTTTGTTCAATTTCATTCAAAGGTTTTAAAGGTTTAGGATTTCTGTAGATTTTTTCGATTTCGAGAGCTTCATTTTTTATACTTTCTACAAATACTTTAGAGGCATCTTCCCCTCTGTATATAACAGGAGGTTTATAAAAGCCACCATCATAGCATATATAATAGCAAAAGCTAAAAGGTGCGTGTTTCTGATAGATAGTTGATGAAGAAAGATTCGGATTTCGAGAACAAGAGTCGGTTTTCAAAGTTAAGCATTCAAAATCTGCATAAACAGTGAAAGGAACTTTTAAAACATGCTGAAAATTTTTAAATTTAATGTACTTACTTTCTTCAGATGGCATTACGACTCTTGCTGGACAATTTTTGTCACACAGTTCTTTGTGTTTTATAAGAGAATCCTCTGAGTTGAAAAACACTAAGCACCTTTTACATATGAAAACTTTATGTCCGTGATTTGAATATTGTTTTGACACAAGCCTGGAAAGATTTTTGATGAGGCAATAATGTCCAAATTCATGTTTAGTTGGCACAAGTAATAAGTCAATGTGTACAGTTTCACTAACTTCACTGACGAGTAAGGGAAAAATGTTCAGTTCTTTGTCAAAGGAATAGACATTAATAGAGATGTTATTATTTTTTGAAAATTTTTTAACATCACTTAGAGGGGTAGGAAAATTTATTCCTTCAAAGTTCAAATTTTTTTCAAGATCTTCGTAATTTGATACACGATTTGGGTTGCGATCTGCAGGAAATACAGCTGCTAAAATGGACCATTTGAAGCAACAAGTGTCGCTATTTTTAACATTAATTACAGCATTTGTCATACGAATTTTTTCAGGTAATTCCACAAAAGTTGAACCTCTTAGAGGAGTAAATTTATTAGTGTGGATTTCGAGTTCAATAATTTCTCCCAGCGTCCAGCCTGAGTCTTTTTCCTGGAAATCCTCACTTTCTAGAATAAGTTTATTTGTTAATTCTTCATATAATTCACTTTTATTTGTAGAGGCGAAAACAGGTTTGTTTGCTGTCTTGAACTCGACATTTTTTATTTGCTTGACGAAGTCATCACTTACTTTTTGATAGATACAAAATATTAACAATCTCACTTTCAGTGATTCATGTTTTTGAAGTTCAGATAGAAATATTTCAGTAGTTTCATCCTTTTTACTTCTTAAAAACTCTGGAATACCGATCTCTCTATCATAATTTTTTAGAGTGAATTCTCTATAGGCCTTTTTGAAAGCACTTTTTGTTTCTTTTGTTCGTGACAATTTGGTTCTATCCAAGTTTTCTGCAGATGTAGGAGCAATGGTAGATGTTGAAGGTCCAGCAAAGGTTGGGAGTCCTGCAGATGTTGAAGGTTCGGCTAATATTGGAAATCCAGATGTTGAGGGCTCGGTGAATGAAGGCACTGCACCACCTTGTTGATTGTTTAGAATCACCATCTTTTTGTTGGGTTCATTATCATCATCTCGCTTTCTTTTCTTATTCTGCTTTTCCAATTTTCTTCGACAATTTCCATTTTTTAAGTGATGATCTAAATTGTCTTTTCTGCTGAATTCTGTAGCACACATTTTACATGAAATTTTCTCAGTAGAATGCACAGAGTCTCTGTGTCTTAGTAGATCACTTTTACGAGCAAACTTTTTAGAGCAGTCAGTACATGAATGCGCATTTTTTTTCTCATGTACTTGTAAGGTGTGCCGTTTTAAATTGTAGTTCGTATTAAAACACTTCTCACAAATGTTGCAAGTAAACATGTTGAAGCCTTAAAATCAACACAACGTTGTGATTACTACACCGACAAACAAATTTTATCTTCAGCAAATTTGTGACGATCATGCGCAGTACGTATGCTCCACACAACGACTTGGATTGGCTATCTTAAAAGTCATTTGGAAGTAAACCACCTTAACTGCAACCTATTTTATCATAACTAAAGAATTTTCTATGAGGGATACATTAATGAATGGTATTATACGTTATCACCATTCAAGGAACTAGTTTTTCAACTATATTCTCACCTTTACTCACCTTCACAACACGTAATAGCTTGGTCTACCTGTGCAGTGTTATGTAGTTGACTGATAACAGTCAGGACATGCATTGTACTTTGATTCATCATATGGACATTAATCATACACTCAATTTTATCTTGTCAAAGCATGTTTCTAAGCTTTAAAGTAAGCAACGGGAGAGAGAATAATGATTAATAATTATTATCGAGTAAATACTTCAAAATCAAACATTAATTTTCAATTTTAGATTATACAAAATACAAATAAATGAATTTCTGAGGGAAAAATATTTTATTGCTATTTTTTTAATTAAAAATTTTGTTATAAAATTATTTGTTTAAACATTTAATAATGCAATATTCTCACATAAATGGTTTTGTTATAAGAGAAAAGAATTAGTTTTGCGATGGATGCTCTTAAATTAGGTCACGATTTCTCGATGATCGTCTCAGATCCATCAGGAAGCGGTAAAACCCATTATATTAAAAAACTAATAGAAAATAAAATGATTAAACCCTTCCCGAAAGAAATAATTTGGTGCTATGGTATTTATCAAAAATTATATGATGAAATTCCTAATGTTACCTTTCATGATTGTATACCATCAAATTTGAATCACTATTCAGATGCATTGATTATCATTGACGATCTGATGAGTGAGTTAGGAAACGATCCGAAATTAACTAAATTATTTACTAAATTTTCTCATCACATCAATTTAAGTAAAATATTTGTGTTGCATAATATTTTTCACAAAGGAAAGGAAATTAGAGAAATATCTCTAAATGCTTATTATCTCGTGTTGTTCAAAAATAGGAGAGATCAATCACAAATTATACATTTAGGACGCCAATTATATCCTAGTAAACTAAAGTTTTTTCAAGAATGTTACGCAGATGCTACTTCAAAACCATATGGTTATTTACTAATTGATTTAAAATCGGAAACTGATGAATCTATGCGCATGCGTACTGGTATGTTTCCCGGAGATACTTTTTACGTATATCAACCGCGATAACTTTATTAAAACAGATGATTTTGAACAAGCAACATGTCTGCTGTCGTTATAGATTTCGAGGGATTTCAACTACCTTCGGGACACTATATCATAAAAGAACTTGCATTTCAGTCCATAAATAGCAATTCCATCAGCGGTATCTTTCATTTTCTACCGCCTTGCACTTCCGAACAACTTACTCGTCAGCAGAAATTTCAATATAAATGGGTAACAAAATATATACATTTGATAGAATGGAATGGAGGATAAATACCATATTATAAAATGCGAACCATCTTAACATTTTTGTTCGATATGTTCACACATATTTATGTTCAAGGGTTAGAGAAAGGAAAAATTTTAATGGGGAAAAAATGTTAAAATTTAGAAAATATTGGCTGTCCAAAGATTGATCAAGTTATAAATTCAAACTTTTGTTCTTTTCATCCTCCCAATTTTAAAAGATGCGCACTTACTAAAGTGAAAGTTTTTTGCAGAAATAATAAATAGACTCGAATAGAAATTGCATCATTCATTTGATTACAAGATGTCAGTGTGCACTGATCAAACTTTACAGCTCTTAAAGTTAATTTCTAAAACTAAAAATTCAAAATCTCTCGTGAAAAGGTGCTCAAAAAGTGAGATAAAAACTTTGTGTGAGTGTGTGTTGAACGTGTTGTGTGGAAACGTACCCCTGACAAAAACTCAAAAATATTTTCTGTCTCCTTTTAAAGAGTGCTTGCGAAAACTTTCAAACAAAAAAAAACACCCTTATATAAAAAAAGAAAATTCTCATTCAAAAGGGGGAAGGATTTTTTTATCAATTTTATTACCTGCTGCTATATCAGTTATCAGTTCTTTAATTCATGGAGCACAGTATGAAATTTGTGCTAGTTCCGGAAGACGGGGGTTCAAATTCAAGAACACTTATCGGAGTTGGATCAACAAATGATAAACATTCTACAGAACAAATATTTAGCTGATCACGAGAAAACAGCTCTGTATTTACAAGTGCAAACCCGATAAACCAGAACCCCAAACGAATCAGCAGGAAATTCCAAATACAGAGAATTCTGCAGTTGCATCTGCAGAAGAGGGCTCTTCAAATATCAAAAGAGAAACAGAAGACTTGGAAGAAAAAATTCTAAATGTAGTTCCAGCTCGATTTCAAGAAAAAGCTAAAGATATGTATAAATTTTTCAAAGTAATGAAATTCTTTGGAACACTAAAGGTGAAATTATTCATGAAGATAAAGCTGTTCCTGGAAGTAATATAGTAAATCTTATAAACGACTTTTTACGAAATAGAAGATCAGCTCCAATGGGGAGAAATGTATTTTTAAAAACATTAAATGATGCTCAATTACCAGCACATTTAGATGTAAATAAAAAATTGTATAATAAAAATAAAATTGTTAAGAAACCTATAATGTATGCTCGCAGAAGTGCTTGGGTGAAACTTTAAAAATAAATGTTACTTTATTAATTAAAACTTTTTGTCTTTGTCATCTTCAAAATTTATCTTCAAAATTTTCTTTTTATATAAAGTTTAATATTTGGAAAAAAATTCTTAAGTAAAATTCATTCATATTTCATTCTATTTTTTCCACCGCCTGCTCCACCTTCAACAATTTCATGACTCTTTTGAGTAACTCACCACAATAATGAAGGTGTTGCCACTGCTAAGAAATGAAATAAATAAAAATCTTGAAAGTAGAAATTATTTTAATTTAAATATTGGCATTACCATTTCAAGAATAAGAAAACATGAAACTAAGTTTTTATCTATAACCGTCTGCGACTTTAAATTTGTTTTAAAACCGTAAGTTTCCATTCGTTTTGTATGCGTCCATTGGATACTGGTTAGCGTGCCTGACAAATCAGTATCCAATGGAAGCATTTTGCCCTGGAGGTCGCTGGTTCAAATCCCAAGTCGAAATTTTTTTTTAATACCAAATATTATTTTTAAACATTTATTTTTTTTTAAATTATGTATAATTATGACTTTTAAACCTAGATAGCGCCCCGAGTATCACACATCTATAATGTGCAAAAATTAATAATTGTTTTACTCACTAGATGAAGCCACGAGTATGGAACAAATTTGTTTGGAAACCGAAACTGCTCCTCCTGCTTAGTTTGTAAACAGATTGAGTGTTGCCATCTTTTAATAACAAATCTAAATTAATGAGTGTTGCCATCGCTTAGAAATAATACTGAAATCAAAACTAAAACTAAAATAAGAAGTTCAAGCAGGCAGAAATAGGTGATATGCTACTTTTTTAAAAACCGAAACTAAATCTGGTGCTGCCACCGGAAGTTAAAAATTTTGGAAACCGAAACCAAAAGTAAACAAGGTGTTGCCACCGGATGTCAGAAATTTCGGAAACCGAAACCAAAAATAAACCAGGAGGTGAACAACTCAACTCAACAGCAGGGGGAAACAACTCAACTCAACTCGACCTCCGCCTGCTCCGCCTGTGTGCTGGAATCGGCTTTTTTATACTGCTCAGAACATTCTGGCAAAATTACCTTACTGTATGGTAATGACATTTCTGATAAAAAAGACCATAATTCTGGCTAATAAAGCCTATATAGACGCTATTTAAACCATTATTTCGGTTATTTTTTCGTTCATATGTTAACGATTTGCCGGAAATTCTGTTTTTCAAACTGAACTGAAAAGTAAATATAACCGATTAAGGATTTCTATGTCACGCTCTAAGGTATGATAAAATTACCATATTTTCCAAATTTTCACTCATATTATAAAACCATATTTTATTGCTAGTTTTACCAAAATTATTGCTAAAACTTTCGAGATTTTGGGTGTACCCATAAAGTTTTTAAGACGGTAAATTTTACTATAGTCTTTTAGTTTTGATAATACTTTTTTTCTCAATACGAAGGCAGTTAAAATCCCATTTTTTTTTTTTAACAAAAAATGTAAAAAACTTATTTTAATTAAAATTTTATTTAGTAATTACTTAGATAAATATCATATTTTATCTTAATAAAATAATAAAAAATATTCTGCGTCAAACCGATGTGAATAATAAAGAAAAGTAGGAGTGCTGAAAGGAGGCACGAAAATTTTCTTGGCATGGTGAATGGTTATTTTGCGCGCGTTTTGTTAAAATAAAATTTAATTGGTTTAAAGAAAAAAAAGGAAAAATAATTATAACCCAAATTTAATTTTTTATAACACCACTATTATTATATAATACCAGTTGCATGAAAATGAAGCTAATTAGCATAAAATACGATTCTAAATTGATGCCTTTGGATCAATAAAATAACTTAGTATTGTCAGGCTTGGCTATAAAATTAATTGAAAAACATATTGTATTGATCAGCAGATCGGCAAGTTAGGGGCTCTTTTCTTGTAACTGCGTATAATGCCCTTCACGATCCTTCCCATCAAATATGTAAAATAAATGCTAGTATATAGTACATTTTTCGTTCGACAGTTACTGTTTATAGTGCCACAAACAGAATAACAATATCGTTTAGCAGGAGTAAGGAATTCCTCACTGAGACATTCTTTTTCTAGGTAAGCTGTAGGCAATATTTTTTCATAAATAATTATTTTATGGATTAGAATTACTTTTTGAGTTCTTGGGATTAAAATAAAAACACTCTAGGTGGTCTAAGTGGTCATATTTAAATTCAGCAGCTTAAAATCTAAACAGTATCATCATAAAGAGCTTTAGCAAATCGTTGTTATTTCGTTGTCTAAATTCTCTTTCTGAATTCATTATATACAACTAATCCCATTCTCATTATTAGTATTCACAGCCGGCATCTCAGCTTTAATTTTAGGTTAAAGAATGAAATAATTATCATAATAATTCTTCTTTTAAGGAAATATGAAATACCGTGAGAAACTTCCCGCAAAGTATTCTAGCCTGTCATATTTGCTATATTATCCTTTGTCAGACACGTGCTCGGGATTACTTGTGTTGTAGTTGTTGTAGTTTATTTACGTCGCACTAGAGCTGCACAATGGGCTATTGGCGACGGTCTGGGAAATATCCTTGAGAATGATCCGAAGACATTCCATCACAATTTTGATCCTCTGAAGAGAGGATGGCACCCCCGCTGTGATAGCCCGATGGCCTGTGCTTGAAGTCGAGCACTTTAAGTAATATTTTTTAATACTAATTACCAATTTATTAATTAGCAAATATAAACGAATCTATATAGGGAATCAAATCTAAATCTTGACTGGCATAATATTCAGCTCATTTTTCACTATTAAATTTTAAATTACTACACCAGTGCGCGTTTAACCATAATATTCAAATTTAAACCATAATGTACCGTTGCGAAAATTTCCTAAATCCATAATACTACGCTAACTTGATTCATATTATCAAGCTAAACTTACCATCTTAAACTTGATTGCAGATTTGATTTTTAAGGTAGAACTTGACACCTCTTTAAGGCTTCAAACTATACTATTATATTTCAAGGTAGCACTAAAATGGTTCCAATTTGAACCGATTTTTCGAGAGTGCAGTTGACGTATGTCTCCCAATCCATAACATAACTGCTATTATAATTAGCTTGATGTGCGCATGAGGAATAAATGAAACTTTCTTTTCAAATCTTTGACTTAAAAAAAAACTTTAAAAGTAACACATTAAAGTTTCAATATTATAACTACTTCTTTGGCATTTCAACTGTAAATAAAATTCTACATAATTCTACATCAATAATTTCAAATGAGCAATATACTTTTTTGTGTTATTTCAAGGATCAAAAGACGCACGTAAGGTAAAAAAGTATGGTAAAAATAGAAGTTATTTTGTCCTTTTAAATAGTAATCGCGAAATAATTGACTTAGCGTTGAATGTTAAGTAGCGTTGTGAGAAACTGATGATTTCATTTTTATATTTTTTAATTGTCGGTTAGAAGTATTTAATGATTAAAGTATAGAACTGGTGTTTTAATTAGTTTTCATTCTATTACTTTTTAATTATGTTCTTATGAAACAGTGGAATATTAGAAAAATTATGACCTCATTAAAAGCAAAGAATTGAAGATTAATCCTAAATGAGAGTTTGATTTTTGCAATTTTTTTTAATGAAAATTAATTTTTCTTTAAAAGTTAAGATAAAATAAATTAAATAAATAAGTAATCTAAATAATTTCCTGTTCCTATACGAGCATTTGAAAACATACTCGATTGTTTGAAAACGCAACTAATGTGCATAGAAATCAGATTTTTTTTTTTTAAATTTAAGGCATTTTTCTTGATTTGATATTTTATAGCTCTTTTTTTTATCTACGTTTTTCATTTTCAAAAAATTAGTTTTATTTTGAAAAAGATATAATTTAGTTTCTCTATTTCTCCTGGTTAATAATGAATGTTATTATTTTTTCTCCCGAAAGCAAATTAGTTATTTTTAAAAATTATTATTTTGTTTAAATTATTTTTAAATGTCCAAACTACTAAACAAGGCTTTTGCTTCGATCTTCATAGTAATTTAGCTATTTTTTGAGAAATAATGGGATTATTTTAATGCTCTTTTAATGGGATTGTTATATAGCTTTGATGTAATTTTACTTTGATGTGCAAAAACAATTACTATGAGTTCATTTCTCTTGTATTTAACGTTTAAAATGTATGAAGAAAAGCGTACGAAGCAATTTTAGTTAAATTATTGCATTATATGATAATAACAATTCCGGTCAAGAAAAAACATCATAATTCTGGATGTACATGTAACAAACATGTTAATCAATCATATGCACAGCAAAGATATGAACATTAAAACTAATCTTAGTAGAACAGAAGTGAATACGAATTCCGCACCCGGCCTGCCCCCCACAGTGCTGACGTAAAATAATTTTGGTGGTAGACGGATCATGGGTTGGAGTCTCCTTGGTAAGCGTGGGAGGTTTTCGTGGTTTTCCTCTCCACGCAACGCAGATGCTGGTTAATTTCATCAAAAAGTCCTCCTCGGAGACAAATTTCCACCAATACTTGATCCAAGAGTTCTCTTGCCTTCTGGATTGGCCTCAAAATTACAAGGCGGAGTTGAGCATTAGTAATCGTGAACCCAAAAATTGCGTCGGCTGCTCAACAATGGTTATAAAATGATATAATAATAATGATGATAATAATAATAATTACGGATATTATATTTTATGTATTCGTAATTTAATTAAAGGTTTTATTTTTAGGTGTATTTCTTTTTGCTTTATCGTTGCTTGCTGTCTTAGCCTTGATAGAATGTGAGACGGATCCAGAATTTACTGATACTCTGCCATCATTTATATGTCCTAAAAGTGGAACAAGTAAGTCAAAATTTACTACCACTATATTTCGCATTTCCAATATGAAAATGTTAAAAATAGGAATGCATAACACAGCTAGTAACAAACATTTTCAAATTAGTATAATTATGGAAATAGTTTATACACATAAATCGTCCACATGAATGTAATGGAATTATTCAATTTCGCAACAACTTTTAAAAGTTCACACATATTAGCTTATTTTTGTAGTATCATACTATCTATAAACAAAAAAAAAGTGGCTAATAACAGTGAAATGCCACATATTTAAGTTGAGTTTCATCCCGTAATTTTGACTTTACCTTTTTTGCAGTAAAAATTTGACAAAAAAGTAATCATAATTGTAATAGTAAATTTAATCGTAGTCGCTGGGAGTGTCTTCCTATTTCAAAATTCCTTTCAATGCGTCTCAGAGCTGGTACAAATTAAAAATTATCGTAATTTTATGTTAATTTATTGTTATCTAATAATTATTGCTGAAAATTACATTAGAATAGATTCAGAAATAGATGTTTTATCGTAATTAATAGATTCGACGACTTATTTGCCCAGCTTGTCATTTTCCTCGCTATATGCAGTGCACGAAAAGGAAGAAAAAAAAATAGAAAAGTGAAACCCGAAATAATTTTTGATCTAATGATCGGATCTTCACGTTCTAGGACTCACTCCTAAAAGTTCGAAAGGGTAATTTCAAATAAGCTAATTAATTAGTGCTGACGATATTTTAACTTACGAAATCAGATACAAAAACGTACTTTTTCTGAATAAAAGTAACTTTTTTTGATGGATTATGATTTCTGACTCCCGAATTATAAGGAGTAGCCGCAATCCTGAAAATATGGTCTCAATAGTTTGTATAGGAGAGTAGTTCATAGTTTGGGACCCTTACTACTAATTTTACTTTTTGCGTAATTAAACTAATCTCGAGAATTTCTGAAGAGAATTGAAAAATTTTTGCACCCAACTGTAAAACTCACTTACCCAAAGATAATTCCATGCAAAATCTAACTTTTAGGAAATATTTATTATTATTGATTGGTTTATTTATTAATTTATTTAATACTTGTAGAAAAATGAGTTGTAAGGTATGCAATTTTTACATCATTTTACAGAACGTTATTCCACATGGCAAAATACCATATTTGAGTAAATTCGGACGAATAGTTAGAGCGAAATTTTCTGGAACTATTTGACCAATTTTGCTCAAATTTTCTACTTTGCCATGCAAAATTACATGCCTTAAAATGATGTAAAGAATACTTTGCAACTCAAAATTTGTTCGAGTCTAATTAAATTAAATAACAAAACAATTACTAACAGTTATACTTTGCATGGAATTATCTTTGGATAAAGCCTAGTGTGTTTTGGATAAAGACTTTTGGATAAAGCTTTATACTAGTGTGCAAAATTTTTTGAATTTGCTCGAGTACCCGAGATATATTGAATTAAGCAAAAAGTAAAATTAACATGAAGTGGTCCAAATCTTGGACCGCTGTCCTGACCAAACTATTGGTACCCTATTTCCCAGATTGCGGTTACCTCTTATAATCTGAGGGACAGAAATCATAATTCATCAAAAAAGAAAAAAAAAAGGTACGTTTATTCAAAGTATGTTTTTGTGTCTAATTTCGTAACTGTACTAAGTAATATGCATTTTTGAGATCACCAGCTCAACCATTAAAATTGAGTTCTAGAACGTGAAGATGCGATTATTAGATCAAAAGTTATTTAGGGTGGCCCATTTATTAGTTTTTGCGAACTATACAATAGCACGTCAAGCTTAAATTTTCACAAAATATATACAGTTTTTATGATTTTTTATACCATTCAAAACAAATAACTGTATCATATTTTAGTATAAAAATTATCGAAAAGTTAAATAAATAAATAAAATAATACGTTTAACTATAGGATGATTATAAAATGACTTGTTTTTGAATAATTTATTTTTCACAGATTAGTAAACTAATTAAAACCACATATTTTCTTAAAGTTTAAGTTCGGTGTGCTGCTGTCAGATGTAAGGAAGAGAACACTTTTTACATTTAACTTTTTTAACGTAGACACAAGTTTTTCGCCCTTTAGCGTTTAAAAAAAAGGGAAAAAATTCAGCCCACACTACTGCGTAAAAGTATATATAATTTTTGAAACAACAAGTCAAACATACGTAGACTTTCCACTCTGATTCCCATTTTTGGAATAAATAATGATCATAATTATAATTTTAATTTTTTAACGTTTTCATTCTTCATTTCAAGCATACTTTTAATAGTTTTTTTTAAAATCCTTCTTTTTTTTACAAGGTCAAAGTAGGAGAATGATAATTCCAAAAATGTTTTTTAAAATTCTCAAAACTGTATAACTTTGATATTTTTGGTATACTTTGACTTTATATCATCTTGTTATTTTGTTTAGTTTAATGTAATGGTATTTATGAATTTATTATGATTATGCCTATATTGTGTTCTTCTGTTTTTGAGGCTATATAAATAATTTATAAGTAAATGGTTAGCCTTTCCAAATTTTATCATATTTGCTAGAAAACAGCTCTGTAATATAATCAAATTTTATTTATAATTTTACCGATTGTCATTACTGAAGTGTTGCGGTAATAATTGCCGTCCTTTTTGGTTTTCTCAATGAACCAGAAAACATGGTAAATTTTACGATATTCTGGTAGTTTTGACCATACCTTTTTCGCATTACTATAACGCAGTAACTAATGCGTTTCTCTTTCTTCGCATTTAAACAACGATTTTTAACTTCTATTAATAAGTATACAAATATTTTTTTTGTTAGATGTTGCCATATTAAAAACAGAATATATACCTACATTCGGAATATATACTACACATACCTACATTTGTTCGAAACGTTTTTGTTATCGCAAGTATCTACACATTTAGGTAGGCAAATAATTTATTTGCATTAATTAGAGTTCCTTTCTTTTATGCTGAATTTTTAAATTTGGTTGATTGTATAAAATGGTTAGAGGTATGTCATAAAATAATCTACTTCCGGTAATAAGTTTTACGGCAAATAGCAAACTTGGCTTGCAATTTGAGCTCTTTGAAAATACTTAATAATAGTGAAATTTTCCCCTACTTTTATTAAAAAAAGGAAGAATAAAAATCGGTGTTTTGCTTCTTCAAAGTACTTACTTTTCGTGCAAGCTCCATTTTATGTAGCCAGCAAATGAATACCGATTTTTGGTGCCACGCGGCTCGGAATTTTAAACAATGTATTTTTGTGGTCGGGCTATAATGAGTTAACATAATACATAGTTTTGAATTTATGTACATTTTGTTAAAATGCATAATATTCTTTAAAATTTATTTTAAAATAAATTTATTTAGATGATCCTCTTCCAAGTTTTCCTCCTACTTTTTCTGCTGATACTCGACTCAACTTTCCAAACAAACAATTAACAGTAGAACTTCGCCATTATAAGGATGAAGCAGGAAAACGGGAAAGTTTGGAGATTTTTGCACCAGGAAGACATGTCAAATACGTAGTTCATGACAAACAGCATCTTCTCATAAATTTCCCAGATAATGGTAAGAAATTTAGATCACTAATACCACTCATCAAGAAATTATTTCTTAGAATTTTACATTTGTATATACATTTTTAAATGATAAGTTTTTTTATTGTTTACGGAAATAGTATTGAGCAAGTTAAAACCAGTCATTCTATAATTTTTAACTTAATTTAATTACTCAGTAATGTATTAAAATACGAGCATTCTACTGAGAAATATTTTTATAGCAAGTGAAAGTATAACCCTGATTGGATATGATATACTCAACGCCCACACTAAACTTCGAACTTAATAGAACCACACTAACGAGAAATAAATGTATTTTAATTTCACAGAAATGAAGTTAAATGTGAGCACCACTACTTGCCAAATGTTTCCAGTTTCATAGCAAATGAAGGTATAACCCTGATTGAATTTAATATGCTCCATACCCACACTAATCTTATAATTCTATATAACCACACTAAACTGACAACGGGAAATTCTGTAATAACGGCTTTTATTATATATTTTTAGAATCCATGTGCAAAACTAAGCTAAAACTATGTACCGTATGCAAAAAAAAAAAAAAAAAAAAAAAAAAAAAAAAAAAAAAAAAAAAAAAAAAAAAAGAAACAAACCCCCCTGATTAACTTTTGATCTAATGATTGGATCTTCGCGTTCAAGGATTAAATCTCAATGGGACAAAGGGGTGACCTCAAATATACTAATTAATAAGTGCAGACGATATTTTAAGTTTCGAAATCAAACACAAATACGTACTTTCTTTGAATAAACATATTTTTTTCCTCCACAGATTCAGATTTCTGATCTTCAAAATATCGGAGGTAGCCGCAATTTGAAAAATATGGTCCCATAGTTTGGTCAAGAGAGAAATCGAAAGTTTGGAACCCTTAATTTTAATTTTACTTTTTGCGTATTTCGCCATATTTCGAGAATTTTTCAAACGAATAGAAACATTTTTGCTCATAATTATAATACTCGTTTATCCAAAGATAATTCCGCGCAAAAATCAAAATTTAGTAAATATTTATTATTTTCAATATATTATTTAATAACAGTCGAAAAAATTTTGAATTGTAAGGTATTAATTTTTACGTCTTTTTAAAGTATGTAATTTTACGTGGCAAAATCGGTCGAATAGTTCCTGAGAAATCTAATTTTAGGGACGTCGAATGCTTAAAATTTGATTTCTCGGGAACCATTCGACTGATTTTGTTCAAATTTTGCATTTTGTTATGTAAAATTACACATTTTGAAATGACGTAAAAAATTTCCTATCGTTTTTTTCGACTATTATTAAATAAAATAATAAAAAATAATAATTATTTACTAAAAGTTTTTTTTTCATGAAATTTCCTATGGATAAACGAATTTTATACTTGTGGGCAAAATGTTTTCAATTCGTTTAAAAAATTCTCGAGATATGGTGAAATACGAAAAGAGTAAAATTAACATTAAGGTGTTCAAATTTAGACCACTCTCCTGATCGTACGATTGGGACCATATTTCCCAGATTTGCGACTACCCCTACATTTTGAGGATCAAAAATCCTTATCAGAAGAAAAAAAGGGTATATTTACTCAGAGAAAGTACGTTTTTGTATCTGATTTCGTAACAAAAATATCGTCAGCACTTATCAATTAGCGTATTTGAGATCACTCTCTTAAACCTTTAAGACTGAGTCCTAAAACGCGAAGACCCGATCATTAGATCAAAAATTATTCAGGGTTGTCCGTTTTTTTTTTGGTGCAGTGTACATTAAGAGATGCAAATAAATATTTAAAAATATTTATATAAATAAATGAAAAGAAACATTGTTTACCTTTTGTTTCTGCCTTGAGATTTCATTCGTTAAAAAAATTCATGTATAGTGCAACTTAGAATAAAAATGTGGTTGATTAGAATAGGAGAGGGATAAAATGATTAGAATAGTATTTTTAGATCAAATTAAAGGATCAAACATTTCAACTAGTATTTGAATTAATGCTAAAAATTAAATATTTCAGATTATGCAACCTGCTCTGTGACAAGTTCTTCAACAATACAGTTGGAGGATGAAGATAGCGGTCCAAATGGATTTCTTCAAAAAGTACTGGATGTTACAAAAAAACCCAACGAATTCTTTCTTGCAGATTCCGGAGTAAACAATGGCGTATTCTCAAAGAAATGGGAAGGATGTTTTGTAAACCCAAAAATAAACGTTTCAATTCGTTTCTCTGGTAAATGATTTTATTTTTGGTAATGACAGTTAATGATTTTATAGATTAATATAAAGTAGTTTTATTTGAATTATTTATCCGGATTGTAGTAGGCTTATATTAACGACTTCATTATTCGTTTGCTATATTTTAGTCATTCAGTTCAAGCTTTAGATGTGAGTGCAAAAATTGCAATTAATTTTAAGATCAGTTTTTGAATTGTTTTCATAATAATACAAAATATATTTATTTTAATGTATTAGCTAATGTATTAGCTGTTAATGTATTGGTTAATGTATACCAAATTCTAATGTATTAGCTGTTGTAGTCTGGTTTAGAATTTCAAATTTAACAGATAGTTTAGCAAAATCTTCAATAGTTGAAAGTCAGAATATCTAGTTTTGGTGGCGTAATAGTAAAAGCGTTGCTCACACCACCAGTGAAAATCTGGGGATGAGTTCTATCCTACCTGCTAACCAAGCCAGCGTGTATCAACATCTCTTAGAAGTCTCAGCACCGATCAACTTAGTATTTCGACATCACGAATATAAGCAGCAGGGGGTTAAACACGAATGATGTTACTAAGCTCGTGCTACTAAACTGCGCAGTGGAGTTAATACGAAAGATGCCACTACATTTGGATTATTAAAGGATCGGACTTTTCACTTATGGTATTTTTCACTCCTACTCGTGCGGAGACCTTCTCTCTTTTTGGACGTGTTGCGTGTATGCTCATCAGGGTTAACGCTAAATCCATTGCGACTGAGCGTCCTCTCATGCGTTGTATAAATTTGGAGAGAGGTGTAGCAGTTCTGTTACTATCCTCGTCCCCTGACAGGGGTAAATATTATTTGGAATTTCTGTCATGACTTTTAAAAGAAAAATCTCTGAAAAAGGGAGTTACAGGTTGAGTCTTGTTAGGGTGCTGTGTATCAAGTTAGGGTGTATCTAGTATCAAAAGGTCATGTCTAGAATGTTTGAAACTAACTTAGTAAAATTTTAGGAAATGCTATAATACTGGGTTTCATGTTAGGGCTTTGTATCAACTGTAATAATTCTTTAAATAAAATTCAATATGCATTTAAATAAACTTAACAAACATTTTAAATAAACTTTCTATACAATTTAAATATACTTAATGCTTTTGTAATTAAAAGTCTAAAGTTTAGAGTTTTTAAGGGAAGAATTTAAAGTCTGCAGCTGTTTACATAAGTTTTTATTGTTTGTTATTGTCACACACTCATCATACAATATATATATATATATATATATATATATATATATANCGATGCATGTATATGGGTTAGTCATTGAAAAAAATCGTATGTACATTATATGTATGTATGTATTCAAAGAAAACGTGTATGAGCCTGTGAAAATACACGAGAAAGTGATGGAAAAATTGGACTTTTTTATACTAAGAAATGAAAATTTACTGTAGTTAAATGCAAGAATAGCTCATTAAAATTTGAAATGCCAGGAAATAAACGTAATATTACAGTATTTCGATTTTTTTCGTGTGTATGGTATAGCTTTTGATCGAGAAAAACAATTTTGTCTTTTTACTTTATTTGCAATTTAAAGAGAGTGTGCCATAGATTTATTATACAATTTCTCTACGTCATTATTTGCATTTGACAGTATAAATTATTAAAAAAATAACAAATATATTATAACTATGTTCGTATAAATTCAAAAGGAACGTATAAATCTATTTAGAAATATCTGAGAACATGCTAAAAAACTTTTCTTCTGATTCATAATATAAAATATTCTGATTCATAATCATAATTTTGTTTAAAAAATACTAATTTTTTTTAAAACTATTAAATCTAACAGCATAGTTTTGGAAAATCCTCTGGTTTGGCCTGCCAAATTAAGCTTCACATTTTCGAACTGAAAAAATTTCACTTGCTGTGATTAAAAACTGATTTTGATTAAAACTGACAAAATATTATGAGTTCTTTTATACTAGGCATTCTAAGTTAGAATTTTTTTTTAATGTGAAGCTATAAATCTTAACAAATTTTATTTTTTATATTGTTTTTCTACTTCAATTTAATAAGAATTAGATATAAATTATTGTGCATATTGTACCTTGGTATTTTAAATCTAATTAACCAATAACAATTTTTTAAGCAGTTCTCTTGTTTTTATTTTTTTAACCTAAGATCTTAGATATAAATGGAGTTTTTGTATTTCAGAAGTTGACTGGAAAAATCCTGGAAACGATACAAAAAATAAAAGACTACCTGTTAGTATGGAAGCTCAAATCGACGGTGATTTTGTTACTGGTTTAATAGACAATCTTCAAGCAAGTATGCCTGATGATATATACTTCCAGGTAATTTTCAGAATTAAATTATGTCTCATTCTTAGGGTCGGCATGTATTTACTCCTAATTTTTCTTCTCTAAAAATATCCTACATGAATAACTATTTTATAAATATCCTATATGTAAATAATTTTTACTATATATATATATATAATGTTATATAAAGCTTAACGTTTGCTCTAGAACAGGTCAATGCATTAAAATTTTATCAAGTTAAATGTATTACATTTTTATTCTTCCAAAATTTTAAATCGGAAATTTATACATGTTAAAATTTTACATTCTCTTAGCAAAATTTTTATATCTTTCAGAAAAATAATAAACTACATTTGTATAGCAATCATGAATGACATATATTTGATTGAATTCAATATTTTGAAATTCATCTTCGCTGCAATGCGTATATGTTATCGATTTTGAAGGCAAAATTAATTTAGGTGAAATTAAAATTTCTACAAGCTTTCATTCCTCTTCTTCTTTTAAGGCACTACTGCCCGTTACAAGCCTGGGTCTTCAAAAGTAGTCTCTGCCATTTGGTTATCCAATTTCCCTTATTTACTAAATGAAAATTTTTCTCCACCGACTCAAATAACTTAATTGGTGATCTTTTTTGTTTTTTCTTTCTCACTAGATTGGTCAAAGTGAGCTTTTTTTGCAGAGTTTGTATTATCAAATCGGAAAAACTACCTACGCAAGACTGCAATAATTGCCGAAATTGTCCTTCAAAATTCTTTTGAAGAAAGGCAGATGCTTTTTGTGTTTATTTCAGACGTGCAAAAAAATGACATAATGGGTTAACAATAAAAACATGCAAAATAAGTGTTAGAAAAATATTCCCTTATGTGAAATATACATGAAAAAAACTTTAAAATCTCAGCAAATAATAAAAAAAACAAAAAAAACAAGAATATTTTTTGATTTTGGAGTAAATGTTACTAAATTTTTTATGCTAGCTTAAACGCGCGAGATATTTTCCTTTGTATCTTTAAACAATGAATTTATTTACTTTTCATTCCACATCGGAATTAAGCAATTTCTTAGATGTACTTAATTTGCTTAAAAGTATTTTATTTTTATGTATTTTGGATAGAATTTCAACGATTTCACTGGATTAAATAAAAGCTCAAAACTTCCTCTCGTAGAAGCTTTTTATTATTCACGGCTTAAAACGCAATGATTTACTGTATCTAAGAATCGGGCATTAAACGCCAACTTTTCATTCTAAGAGACTTGCCTTCTCTTAGACTTCATCTGCATACCTCTGGTGTATTATGGAGTTTTTATTCATCTTCTTCGGCGCAGGATAAGGCAACGAATAAATTGTAAAGTGGAGAATATATTAAGATCTCCAGGTTTCATCTTGCTCATTTTTGTTTATATTTTAAGAACCGTCTTCAGTTCCATATTTATTTCAATACCGCATTAGTAAACATCAATAGATAAATTAATTTGGAAATTTTAAGTATCGCAAAAAATGTTTTTAGTCTTTTAAATTGTGCGTTTCATTTTTTAAATATTTTTAATTTGTTAGTTTAGATTCAATGAATATTGTGTAGAATAAAGATTTTAAAATATTAATCTACATTTTTATTTCCTTATGTTAAATTTTAACGAAATAGGTGATATCATTTATTGAAAGAAAACACTAATAATTAAGATCAAAAGGATAAAACTTCTTTGAAAAAAACGCGCTAAGAAGCAGCAGAAATTTCAGAAAAAAGTAATGGCTACCGGGTAAAAGTAATTTAATGGCTACCGGGGCCGGTACCCCCTGAAGACGTCGGCTTCGGTGGTCATATTTTTATTTTAATTTTATTTCATTTGTTTTGTAGTGATATCATTTATGTTACTTTTTGAAATTCAGTTCTTAAAATAGTTTTTAGTGTTTTGTATAGTATAAAGTATGGTATGAGATTCACATTGTTTGTATGTATATGTATGTAAGTATGTATGTTTATGTATAAAAACGATGCATGTATATGGGTCTATGAATGTATGTATATGAGTTATTTACTATTTACATATAATCGTTAGTCACAAGTATCTAAACAATAAATTTAATTCAACATCTTCGGCATAGGATAAGGCAATGAATAAATTGCAAAGTGGAGAATATATAAAGATCTCTAGGCTTCAATTTACTCATCTTTGTTTTTATTTTAAAAACCGACTTCAGTTCCATATTTATTTCAATACCGCATTAGTAAACAGCAATAGATAAATTACTTTCGTAGATTTAAATGTCACAAAAAACTTGATGCTCTAAACGGTTAAGTTTTATTTCTGAAATACTTTTAAGTTGTTATTACAGATTCAATGAATATTGTGCGGAATAAAGATTTTAAATTATTAATCTAAATTTTTATTTCCTTCTGTTTAATTTTCACAAAATAGGACTGTTTGATGTCATTAATGTAACTTTCTTGATTCAGTTCTTAAAATAGTTTTTAGTTTTTTGTAAAGTTTAAAATATGGTATGGGACTCACACAGTTTGCATGCATCTGTATGTACGTATGTAAGTTTATGTATAAACGATGTATGTATGTATATGAAGCTATGCATTCATGTATATGAGTCTATGTCAGGGATTTATTTATTAAGTGTAGACGATATTTTTAGTTACGAAATCAGACACAAAAACGGACTTTCTTTGAATAAACATACCTTTTTTTCGTTGGATTAGGCTTTTGATCCCCAATATATAGGGGGTAGCCTCAATATTTTGGTCAGGAGAGTGTTCCAAAGTTTGAACCCCTTAAAGTTAGTTTTACTTTTTGCGTATTTCACTATATCTCGATAACTTTTTAGTGAATTGAAAAACCTTTGCCTACAAGCGTAAAATTCGTTTATCCAGAGATAATTAAATGCAAAATAAAACTTTTAGTAAATATTTATTATTTTTCATTATTTTATTTAATAATAAACGAAACAAATAATGTAATTTTAAATGGCCAAATACAAAGTTTTATCCTAATCAATCGAATAGTTCTGGAAAAAATCAAATTTTTAAAAAGGCATATGTTTAAAATTCGATTTCTCAGAATCAATTCTACCGATTTCGCTCAAATTTTGTATTTTTCCATTTAAAATATTACATTCTTTGAAATGATGTAAAAATTTGTTTACCTTACAGTTGAATATCATTATATAAAATAATAAATATTTACTAAAAGTTATATTTTGCATGAAATTATCTTGGGATAAATGAATTTTAAATTGTATGCAAAATTTTTTCAATTCACTTAAAAAGTTCTCAAAATATGGTGTATAAAGTAAAATTAGCATTGAGATGTCCAAACTTTGAACTTCTCTACTCACCAAACTATTGGTAACATATTTCCCAGATTGCGGCTACCTCTATATTGCGGGGGTCAGAAATCCAAATACATAAAAAAGAAAGGTATGTCTATTCAGAGAAAGTACATTTTTGTGCCTGATTTCGTAATTTAAAATATCGTACGGACTAATTAATTAGTATACTTGAAGTCACTTCTTCAAATTATTAATATTAAGTCCTAGAACATAAAGATCGGATCATTTGATCAAAAGTTATTCGTTTCTTATTTTGTCACTGTGTGGATGTATGTTCATGTATAAATGATGTATGTATGTATATGAGTGGATGTATGCATGCGCATGAGTCTATGCATGTATGTATATGAGTAATGTTCTATAGTACATAAACAATAGTCACAAGTATCTAAAACGTAAATTTCTGTTAGACTAAATAGTATCAGACTGTTTTCTTTAACCCTGGATATTTCTAAATGTGTTTTTTCTTAAAATTCCCTATTTTGTTTAGATAAAAATAGCATGATGTCATTCTTATTATTTTAAATTTCTCTTCCTACCATATCATTCAGTCCATATACCATATCATTCTACCATATCATAATTAAAAGATATTCATTTTTAATTGGTATACATTTACCATGATTTTTTTAAATATGCAAGTTTTTTTTAAAATTTATTAATTTATTTCTTAAACATTCTGTTCATTTTATTAACTGCCATCTAAACGTTAATCATTCGAAAAAGTTTATTATTATCAGCGCGAAAACTACTATACAAAGGATAATAAAGAGAATTTTATTTACTATGCAATTTAAAATCGAAAATATTCAGCGGACGCAAATTTTGGAGAACCAATTACTTAGGAAACCCAATAATATTTGGAAATTGTGATGCTTAAAAGTGACAGTGGGTGTGAAACTGTTATTGTAAAAATGATTTTTTATTGTTTAGTTTTCCGTATATTCGCTGTTTTATTTTAAAAATGTATATGCATTTTTTGAAAGATTGTAAATTTTGAAAGGTTTATACTTTATAAAATGCCGGCACTTAGTATCCGTAAAATCCATTTCATCGTAAAATATTATACAAATAATTTTTATAGTATTTATTAAATTAGAATGATTCAGCGAGTATACGGTAATATTTACAGTAAAAATTTCAGTACATCACATTTTTTGTTTCGTAAAAATGGATTTTATGGTAAAAATAACCTGTATCCTGAGTGCCGTTTTTATTGTACTTCGATCCGGAATTTTTCGCTGTGTTCTGAACGCGTTTACAAGGCATATTTAAAACATTTTGATCTCTTGTATTTCACCAGGAGTTTGTTTCGACTTATATGGTTGAATTATGAATAAAAGTGAACGTAAAAATATTTAAATTTTTTCTCCTTAAAAAAACTCAAATTAGAAATATTAATTTGTGTAAATATTTACTCTTTGTAAAGGTGAATATCTTAATAAATCTATTAATTTTAATTTACAGCCACCAGCAGATGTATATTGCCCAGGCTTCAGAGAGGATGTGAAACCACCCGAGTTTCCAGATTTTTTTTCATATGACGGCGAATTGATGATGTTTGAAACTAGAACCGAAGTTATTCCTTTTGTCTCTCATCGTTCAGTATGTATTTTTAAATTAGTTTATGTTGATATCAATTTCAATATTGGTTAAATATTAAAAAAAAATCTTAAAATATAATGAGAATAATATTGAAATCTTCACAAATAACTATAATAATATTGAAAAATTTGGAATTAAAATTAAGATAGTGGAATTAATATTAAGAATTATAATTAATGTTATCAAATAACGTTATATCCATAGTAAAGGGCAATAGATTATATTAGATTTACGGTTAAGAGTCAAAATGGTTTGTTATTCTCTTTGTTAATAAAGCTTTGATGAAAATAAGCTTATAAACTTATACTGGTGCACACATTGTACCGTAAAAAACTGCACGAAAATACAAAATTTTAGTACTTAGTTATTTTTTAGTACTTAGCTATTTCTTCGCTTAAACCTATGGGTTCAAACATTTTAAAGTACACTGAGAAAGAAAGTATACTCAAAACTACCAGAATATGGTAAATTTTGACGTGTTTTTGGACTTATGTGCACACCAAAAGGCCTAGTAATTTTTACAGAAGCTCTTTTTAATGATCTTGTTAAAATGAACAATAAAATATTGTTTAATAGCGTGTGATAAATTTTGACAACGGAAGTAAAATTTGTTAATTTTATTATGAGACCTTAGAGTCTGGTATAGAAACCATTTATTCGGTCAAATTTGTTTTTCAGTTATGCATTTTTTAATAAATGTTGGTAAAAGAAACTATAGTTTTGAAAACCAGAATTTCAGTGAATCGTTACTACATGACAAATACATAATGATTTTAATACCGTATATATTGGTTTTATTAACCAGAATTGAGTATTTTTTCTGAATTGCTATTACCGTTCAGAACGGACATTTTACCAGGACATTTTACCGTATGCTAAAGAAACTTTTTGGAGCTAAAAAAATCTTCCCGTTTTCCAATGTCCTGTACAGTCTTTAAGCAAATTTTAAGGAATTTCGGCTCAAGTTTTTAAAAAATTTCGATTTAGCATTTTAAATAATTTGCATCTCTAGAAGTGTTATTGCATCATTATTTAATACGTCTCTGACAACGTTATTGTTTCAAAATATGAGCACATGATTTAGATTCCGATTTGCATTTTTCCATAAAATAAATTTAAAACATCCTATAAATGATAAACTTAACTTCTCAAGTAATTTAATCCAAGTAAATAAGTTTAAACCCTTAGAGTTTTCCTATTTGGACCATGTCATACCAGAAGAATTAATTTTGCTCCCTGAATAGGCGGCATTATTTGTTTTGCCAGGACATTAAGTTTTTCAGCAAATTGGAAGTATTGAAATTAGCTAGCTTTTACGATCGTTGCAGAAAATTTAGAAATATAAACTTTATTTCTGTGACACGAAAGAATCTTTTTTCTAATAGAAAGTAAAATTTATGTCTTTAAAAGGCTAGACTTTTTGTCTGGGAATTGAGTGGTATGTAAGGAACGTAAAAAAGTGCTACAAAACAGTAAGAAAGTCGATGCATAAAATAAAATACAGCGTAAATAGTACCAGCTTAAGGTATTCTTCTAAGTTTACGATGTACACATTCCTAGACGAGTGAAGAAAAAAAGAAAGGCTGCTTTTATGTCCTAAGATAAAAGTTTGTTTTCAAAACTAAAATAGAAATTTTGCTTTTGTTACTTCTTTTTGAATATCCAACTGTGAATTGCGTCTTCTAAAATGAAAAAAAAACCTAAAAAAAGGGAATTGACAAAATTTGTTTTTGTTGAAAACTTTCTTAGTGCAATTTTAGATCAACCCTCTAAAAGATTATTTCTTTTCGGAAAAAATGTTATTTTCGTTTTGAAGGGTATATATAATACACAATATTAAACTTAAATGGGTGCAAAGATTTATGGCTAAATAATTTCTAATGATAAACCTATTAATTATATAAAAAATCTGAAAAATTGCATTGAAAAGTCGTTTTTTAAAACAAAAAGTTTTATTCTTACCTTTGAATATCTTGCTATTAATTAAATGTCTAGTTTCATATAACGATCTGTTTAATGATAGCTTTCAAGTAATTTGCAGTTAAAGCGTTAAAATGTACCAGCTGCTTTATTTATCTCTCCATTTTATGCTTCAGTTTTTCTTTACATCCGTGTTAGTTAAATATTTTGAAAAGTTTAAATTTTTTTTTTGTATAAACGAAACGTTCCGTACCCGATTATTTTCCGTATAAACGTATTACTTACCCCTTTTTGTAAGCAAAAGTATAGAAAGAGGAAAAGAAAAAAAATAATGGTGTCTAACTGCAAACATTTTGTGTAAGAAAAACTTGGGATTGGGAGTATCATATATATATATATATATACACTAAAAATACTTTTTTTTTCTCCAATGCCCACCTGTGTNATATATATATACTAGCGTGCCATGGTCTAAATTGTTTGGTTAAAAGAGCGATTTAAAATTTGAAAGCTTTAGATGTCATTTTTTGCTTTTTGCGTATTTCGCCATATCTTTCACACAATTATATATATATTTTTTTTATCCAAAGATAAATTCAAAGCAAAAATAGCTTGCAGTAAATATTTATTATTTTTTTATCATTTAATATTAATATATTCGAAAACTTTTGAATTGTGAGTTATACATATTGTTACATAATTTTATACAATATAATTTTGCATGGCAATATTCAAAATTTGAGCAAAATTGGTAAAGCAGTTCCAGTGAAATTGAATTTTGAAAAGTCGTATTTTTAAATTTCAATTTAGCAATTCTGCATTATTCGACCGATTTCGTTCAAATTTTGAATTTTGCCACTTAAAATTGCCTTTATTAAAATGATGTAAAAAATTGTATAAATTATTATCCAAATAGTTTTCGACTATTATTTAGCAAAAAAATAAATAAATAAATAAATAAATATTTAGTAAAAGCTGTATTTTGCCTGTAATTATCTTTGATTAAAGGAATTTTATAAATGTGCGCAAAATTTTTTCAATCCGTTTAAAAAGTTCAAGATAGGGTGAAATTTGCAGAAATTAATATTAACATGAAGGGTGTCCAAACTTTGGTCTGCTTTCCGGACCAAACAATTGGGATATTTCCCAGATTGCGGTTATTTCCCATGTTACGATGATCAGAAATCCGAATCCATCATAAAGAAAGTATGTTTATTCAGAGAAAATGCGTTTTTGCGTCTAATTTCATAACTTAAAATAATGTCTGCATTAATTAATTAGCATATGCGAGATCACCCTTCGAGCTATTAAGATTGAGTCATAAAACGTGACGATCCAATCATTAGATCAAAAGTTATTTAGGGGGGTTATTCTTCCAGTAGGGTTATTCGCTGTACAACTATGGTGATTAGAGTATCCTACTATGTACCACCTGACTTAAATTGATTCGAATCCTGCAGACAACCAATCAGCGTCTCTCTCACAGACGTATGAACTACGTATGAAAGTGTAATGCGGTTTTTTCAATCAGACAAAATGTAAAGAAAAATTCTGAGTAATAAGTAACATAAATATTCTATTTGTCTAAACTAGTTCCTATTTTCATACATACACTGAAAATAATTTGCTTTCTTCTTTAAAATAACTCAGTTTTATATTACGGTATGGAAATGGCATTTCTGGAGAAAAAAAAACTCATAATTCTGGTTAATAAAACCGAAATGTGTGGTATTTAAACCATTGATTTAGCAATTGCCCTGTTCATATGATAACGGTTTGTCTGAAATTCAGGTTTTCAAAATTAAGAATTGAAAAGTGAATTTAAGCAAATAAGTGGTTTTTATGCCATGTTCTAATGCGTCATGAGAAAAATCGCCAAATTTTGTCATATTTCTCAAACTTTATTACATATCATAAAATAATATTTTATTCTTAATTTTATCGAAATCATTACCAAAGTGATTACTGAGATTTTTGTTGTTTACATAGAGCCAGTAACACGATGAAGTTCGGCATATTTTACTAGTTTTGATAATACTTTTTATTTCGGTGGGAATAAGTACATCAAAATAATACAGAATTTCGTATTTTCGTAAGTGTAGTGCATTTTTGTACTTGAAATGGCTCATGACTGATTTAGATTGAAAAATCAACAGAACTAGTGACTTGTTAAGAACAAAACATTGAAAATTTTTCTGTCGACTTTATTTTATTTAGAAAAAAATATAATTTAATAAGCTGAAAACAGCACAAAAATGAGTTACTTTATAAAATTTTGTTTCGTAATGAATTTATTAATGCGTGTATTCTTACCTAATAAATATCTCACGGCCAAAGGTTTAAAATATTAGCTCGCTATTTTAAGTTAAATAAATTAAAGTGCTTCCCTTTTCATGCTTGGCGAAAGGTTTAAGAATCGATAAGTTAATCTGTTTATATTCTACTTATCTAAGCAATCTAAATTAATTTATACATCTTATTGAATTACTGATACTTCCAAGGTTCTAGATTAAAGCTACTGAAATCGCCATCAGTTTATTGAGGGAAAACTGTTTTGAAAATTAATAAAATTATATTCTAATCCTAAAGAACATATATTCAAACTTAATTTATTAAATTTAAAAACTTTTATTTGTTTATGATTCTGTGAAATCTATATACTTAAGAGTAAGAAAAACATGTTTTCGGAAAATTATATATAAATAAATAAATATATATATATATATACACCGAAGAGCCATTACATTATGACCAACCTGCTAATAACATGTAGGACCACCTTTAGCCTTTAAAACTGCTAGCACCCGCCGTTGCATTGATTCCACAAGGTGCTGATAGGTAGTCTGAGGTATCTGGTACCAAGCACTCACCAACGGGTCTTGCAATTCCGTCACATTGCGAGAGGTTAGCGTGGCAGCACGAATTTGGTTTTCCAAGTAGGGCCACAAATGCTTTATTGGATTAAGGTCAGATGAATTTGGGGGCCAAGACATGACTTGAAAGTCACTGGAATGTTCCTCGAACCAATCTATGGCGAATCGACCTTTATGACATGTTGCATTATCCTGTTGGTAAACACCATCCCCCGCAGGAAAAACTGTTGCTATGAATGGATGAACCTGGTCTGCAACTATGCTCAAGTAGCTTACAGGCGTCAGGGATTGTTCTTTGAGGATTATGGATCCTAATGTGCCCCATGAAAACATTGTTCCTGGGCGAGAAACCATGAAAACCTGGGCGAGCCCATTGTTATAGATGGAGGGTGGCCATAATGTAATTGTTCTTCGGTGTATATATATAATTATATATATATATATATATGCATGGAGAAACTATAAATTAAATATCAGAATATCAGGCAATCGTGAATAATTGAAATATCATCTAAACACAACACAAAAGAAAAATATCCACAAAATATATAGTACAAAAAAGCTCGAAAGCTTGCTCATATGTGAATGTATATATGTATAAAACTCGGAAAGACGAACATAATATGCTGTAGACATTTGCTATGAAACTAGATATTATAAGATATTTGATATAGAGTACTAAATGTTGAACAGAGAAACTAAATTTGCCATTCGATTTGGAAGGGCTTCATGTCTAGATCTGTGAAATGAAACAAAATTTATGAAACAAATGAAACAAAACCTATGATACAAACAATCAGAAAATATAATTTTTGAAAAGCAATTAGTTATTCAAATAATATCAAAGCCTAGTGATAATGTCCCGTTGAATTTTAAGTAGGAGAAAAATATGAACTAGAACAAGATTTATGTAAAGTGCAGTGTGTTTCTGAATTAAAATATGCATGAGTAAATTAAAATATGTATGAGTAAATTAAAATAACTATTTATTCTCTTCTTACAGGTTTATTATGACTACCCAGCCGGAATCTCCAGAGTTGATTACCACGATCCTCTAAGTGAAATTGAAGATTCTGCAGAAGACAAAGTAGTAGCAAAAGGCATTTCTGTAATACATGACTTCAATTCAAGTAAGGAAAAATGTTTTTATGTGAAATAGCTTTGCGATGAAAGTAAAAAATTTTATTTTACCCTAAGGCTTTCTTCAGTCAAATGTCAACAGATATAAAAAGAAAAAGGGTAAAGTTTTTTTTTTGAAGAAGGGATTCACTTCTTCCTATCACCTAAGGCTAGACGTTCGTCATTTTTACGACCTTATCGGATGGCCACGATGTTATTTGGTAGTGTGTTCTGCCTTCTGTAGATAGGCTTTCGCTTCAATACATTTCTCGCAACTTGACTGTTCTGTAACTCAATAATAACAGTGTTTACAAGAAATCTTTATATTTTATCATACGATGCCATTTAGTACAGAAGAGTGAGTACTTATTTTTGAGCTTGATGACATAATCTTCGTCCCCATCCATGCTCATAAAATATATCCTTTTCTTATTTTATGGTTGAGTACATTTTGAAGAGCAAGATTATTACTTTTTTTCAAATTTATTGGTGTTAAATTGCTTAATTTTATACCTTAAAATGCCTTTATTTTAAAGGATATTAGTACCAAGTTTTATCGTTGATAATATGTCTGAGAGATTGTTTCTCTAACTATTTTCTAAAGATAATAATAATAGTTTTAGATTTAGTAGTTTATAAAAATATAGTTTTTAAATTTTAAACATATTACGTATAAAAAGTTATTTAACAAGTGACTTCTTCTTATTTATTTATTGTACTAAAAATATAGTACAGTACTGGTTATATGGGGTTTTCGTAGAGTTTGTACTATTTTGTATTATTATTAAACATTTTCTTAGGCGTTCCGTGAGATTAGAATTAAATTCATGGTAGCAATTAACAACAATTACTTTTTTAACTTAGTACATGGGGAGGTTAAATATTTTTAATAAAAAGAGTGAAAAATATTGTAAATACAATTTTTTTAGAAATTATTCAGAATTTTATGTTAAAAGGAACAGATAATAAAGTTAAATCAATTGGTCACAACGTTTACCCACTAAAAATAACGAGTTTTCAACTTAATAAAAGGGTTAAATATTAAATTCAATTACTTAGAATTAATTAAAAAAACTCAAAATTCTTCCTTAGAAAGAAGATTCTTTTTTGATTATTAAATTCTGATTTAATTATTCAATTCTGATTTTAATAGAAATGTTTATTTTAAATTTTGTAAATGGTTGAAATTATTTATTTAATTTTATACAATTACTACGCAACTGCTATATAAACTCCTATGTAAAGAGCTCATGTATAAAATACAAATTTTAATTGTTAATCTGCTGTTATTGAAATTTTTTTAAATGAACACTTCACAGATTTAAAATTTAATTGACCAAAACGTTTATCTGATAAAAAATAAAGAATTTTCAACTATGCACTCATTGATGCAAATTTATTAAAATTCGGCAAACGTTTAATAATGGTATAATAAAAAGTATTTTGCTTTTAGATTCAGCCCTATAAACTGGCTAAATATTAAATTTAAATATTCAGAATAAATTAAAAAAATACGTAAAATTCTTCTTTAAAAAAAAATTTTTTTTGATACAAAAATTTCGATTTGGTTATTGAATTCCGAATTCACTAAAAATATTTATTTAAAATTATGTTATAAGTTAAAAATAATTATTTACTTTCATACATTTACTACGCAACTCATATATAAAGGTTTCAGTAATCAACGTCTTTAATATATACTTTTTTAACGTCTTTAATATAATTTTTTGTAAAAATTAATAGAAGGAAATTTAAACATTTATACACTCAAAACATTATCACAATCTGACATTTCACTACATTATTATCAATTAATAAAATTTCAGTTAATAAATTATTTAGAATTAATTTGTATATAAATTATTGTGATATTAATTAGTTAATTTTTAGTATTATTATTTAATAATAGTAATAATAATTCCAGTTTAATTGCCGGAAGGAACTCAGGTGAGATTTAAGTCGTTTATTAAAAACTCCTTCGAGAATCTTTTGGCAATGAAATTGATTTCGGTGTATTTGATATACAGCTTCTCTCAATAGTAATTTGTCAAATTTTAATAATGATTTCGTTAACTATTCTAAAAATGTATATTAAGGCCATTGATTAGGGGACATCCTGAGAAGTCTAAGGCATATAAATGTATTAATAAGTCATACATAAAAATTTTCATTTTCCATGAACTAATCAATCAATTCAGTTCATATTTTAGTTTTTTTTACATAAGATTTAATAGTTTAAAAGTATATAAAATTTGTTCACCTTACAGTGCTAAACTTTTTAAATTTTTTTCTTCACTGAAATGTTTTCAAATAAACTGTTTTCATGATTTTGGGCAAAATGCATTTTATTTAATTAAAGAATCCCGGAGATATGGCGAAATTTCTAAAAATATTGATAAATAACATTGATTTTTTAAACTTTTGACTGCCCATGCATTTTCCAAATTTAAACTATCCTTCATATTTTGAGAGTCAAGAAATGAAATCAATCATTTTTTTCCAGTTTTGAAATAGATAAAAGATTAAATGTTTTAAAACAAAATTATTTCATTAATTAGAGAGAATTATAAAATTTCAAGTAGAAAAGTTACTTCTAGAAATATCGCATAATTGTTTAACTCTGTGCAAGGCAGAAAGTTTGAATCAAAATTAAAATCCTGTCAAGAAACACCGATAGAGCTGTGGTCATCTCCCCGTTATTACAATTTTAGTGGTTATTACAACCACTTAAATTATAATAGTTTTGCTGTCGAAAATAAGTTGCCAGCTTCTATACCACTGCCCCTGAAAGGGTTAAACCAAACTGAAACTGCAATATTTAAAAATACATTTTTTTAATTATATACAAAAGAGAATAGGGCTCTGGTCCGGAGAGGCTGGGGTTCGATCCTCAATTCTGCTAAGACCCACTGAGTACGGAAGATATACGTGCTCGTAAAATTTGATGAATCGAAAGTCCTGTGGTTGATCGCAGGAAACAAGGATCTGGTACAAGGATCTGGAGAAAATTTCTCCTTCAGATATACGTCTAAATTGAGGAAATGGTCACATGAATGATTGTATCCATATATATGAGGGGTTTTGAGCAATGACGCACTTTCATCCTTGCGGTGATCTTTTGTCAAACAAAAGTCGCATCTTCCTGACTTAATTCGCAAAAGGCAAATGGCTGAAGAGCTTGGCTTGACCAAGCGTCATTAGAAGCAGCAGAATCTCAAAAAGGATTTTTTAAACTATTTCAACATACTCATGATTGAAACAATCTGGTTAAAAATGCAGAGTGGTTAAAATTAAACTGAAGGTACTAAGAGGCTCCGAGCCCCTGTCGCTTTGAGAGGATTGGTATTAAACTTCGAGAATTTATCAATTAGATCATGGTGACCCCATGATCTAATGCCATTAAAATTAAATAATTAGAATTTTCATCAATAGATAGCGCTATAGTGCTAAACCTATATGCAAATTCATACTTGCACCCGTAAATGCCTAATGTTGACCAACTGAATGAGTTTCTTTTATTCGTTGAATTTTGAGCTGCTATCTTTCTTATTACTGCATTACAGCACCACCTAATGGTGAAATTTAAAACCATTTTCTTCAATGAAAATCTCGGTCTCATTATTTAAATAGAATATATTTGAAGTTTAACTTGGATCCGTTAAGTTGAACCGGAGCGAGGAGCCTTTGAATACCGATAGTTTAATTTTAACCACTTATTAATTTGCCAACAATTAAAGAAAGATAGCGCATATTTAGTGCAAAAATAGCAATTTTATAAAATCTGTTACTTTTTATGTCAAACGTTTTCTTGAAATGGAACGTAGTCGGTGATTTACACTTACGGTGCTTCTCTTGTCTGAGTTTGGAGAAAACAAGTTTAAATTCTTCTTTGAAATGTTTGGTCATTTTGTTTGTAAAAGCTTTATAATGTAACAAACACGTCGAGATGCTGACTTATTTAATGTTATTGTAGGAATTCAATATAGTTTTATGTTACCAACTTGGCAATGTGAAGTAGAAGAATTTGAAACTACAGCAGAGATTGTTGAAGAAAAGGAAACTAAGGAAACGGCTATGATAACTGCAAAACAATATTTTGCTCTTGATGTGAAAAAAATATCATACAATGGTCAAGTAAGACAAATTTTTTCTTTACTTAGCAGATAAAGGGGTTTCAAAAACTGTCAAGCACACAGAATAATCCAAATATTTCAAGAAATATTCCTCAGATCAAAACTAAAAATGGGAAAAAAATACACACGTGAAAAATTCGTAAAAGATGCATTCAACGATGCAAAACTTGAAACCGAATCTCACCCCGAGTATAGGATAACTTAAAAATCTTTAGCAAGAACCTCTAATTTATATTGCAGAATTGGATTTTCCAGATAAAGATTCTTAATTTGACTTTCAGTTTGTAGCATTTTGTCAGGTTGTTGCATATGAGGAGTCTCATGTAAAATTATATTGAATTTAAAACTCAAAATTTCTATGAAAACACACAAAGAAAAGATTCACAGAACCCAGTAATTTTATAGAAATTAAGTAAGTAAAATTTTGTAAATTACTTCTTAAGACATTCTGCAATAATTTAGACATTAAACCTTTTCTGACTGTGAAATGCACCGGAACACTAGGCTAGAGTGTAAGTCGATCAGACATATAAGTAAATATAGGGAAATCAAACCCCAGTCGAAGCTACGATAGATAATATTTTAATAATATGAAGTAAAAACCAGAGAAGAGGTCAGTATTTATTTATGAAAGTTTTTTTAATGATAGCCTGTATTCTCACACTCAAATGGAAAGAGCTATAAAAATTTTAATTTTTTTCATTATGTTGTTTTTAAGTAATCTTATTAAGGTCATTTACAAAAAACAATGTTTTGTTGGAAAAATTTATTTTATATAATATTGTTTCATTGTTTCAGTTCATGCATCGTGGTTATTTGGCTGATGTTTTTACAGCAACGGTACAGCATTTTGACGGATCGGATGGAAAAAACATTTACTCCTGGTTTTTCTCTTCTGTGAGTATATAGATTTGATACTTTTTATTATAGAAGGAAATTTCTAAAAGAAAAATGACCACGTCCTTACATAAAACTAGTCGTTCATGCATAAAACTAGTCGCCTTCGGTGTAAATTTGACCGTTCCTCCAAACTCATCACTTGGTGGAAACTTTTTAATCCCACCGCCTCTAGCATAGATAGATTCAATAGATAGATAGATACTTTTATGTTTAAGAACTAATTTTATTGAATCTAGATAGATTCAGTAATTTTAGTTTTCAAACATAGAAGTATACCTAACGTGCAATTTGAACTTTCTATAATTCAGTCGTAAAGTTCTATTATTAAAACATTTTTTTGAAATATTCCGATATGTTCATTTTGTGAATTGAGAAAATACTCACTAAATCAAATGAAAAGAGCGGCAAAAATTTATTGAAAGACTTAAGGGAATGCTGAGTGAAATTTTACGACAATTTTATAAAGCTTGTTGAATGTATGTTTTTTTTAAGTAATCGGTATATTTTGTGTTACACAGCCATAGCGCACTAACGCATTCATGTTATGAGAATAAGTAGACACATGTTGTCAAATCTCTGTATCACAAGATCGAAGGGAGACACTAAAAGTTTTGTGATATCGAAAAACGAATATTTTAATCAAATATTTTTAACAACTTACTTAATGTTTATTTCAAAAACAGTTTCTTCAAACTATGCCATAAGCTTCTTCATTTGGTTTTACGTTTTTTCTCAATTATTGTTATCTTCTTCCAATTTTATTTATCACCCGATACTCTAAACCCTAAATATTTCTAATTTTTTCTCTATCACCACTTTTCATAGTAACTACTTTTTCATATTTATCAGTTTTCTTTTTGATTTATTAGATTAACAATTTCTTTTTAAATTTATGTATGGTTATTCAATCTATGCACGCATCTTAGAAGCCTATTTCTTTAGGTATGGATGATTGAGAAAATTTTATTTTTATAGTGACAATTTCTATATAATAAGGGATTGTAGGGATGTTTCATGAAATAATCGAAGATAAAAATTCATGAACAGAGTTCAAGAAAGCATTTTATATTCTCCTAAATTTCAGAGAAAAATAATTTTAATTAAAAAAAATGTTTTGTGATTCAAGGATCACAGAAATCAATTCAGCTTAAAGATGTTTTTCTTTTCTATTTTCTACCTAGCAAATAAGTAGTTGTTTCAGACTTTTCGTATTATCCAAACATTCAAAATATCAAGATTCGACTGAATTTATAAAAAATCAAAAATATTACTAGGGAATAAAGCACCTACAAACCAATTAAAAATGAGTTTAGAAAATAAATGCCTTCAGTGTTGAATACCTTTTAAATATTAGAATGCCAACTCCAAAAATTTGTTAATACAAAAAGTTCTTGTCTCTTAAAATTATTTAAGTTCAACTTTGTAATTGTGATGCCATTATAGGCATTACATATTTCCTAGCCTTTAAATTTTCTTTATTTCATAAATTTAATCATTCCTAATTCCTCTTTAAGTAAATAAATCGATTAATTAAGTTAATATTATAAAGATATTCAAATACTTCCATTCCTAATTAATGTAACTGTTTTATTTTAATACAAGTGCCATGTATACGTTAGAATAGTTTTCACCAAGGAAAGTTAAGGAATTTATGAATTGGCTATTAGTTACTTTAAACTATAACCAAGTCTCTTTTTAAATTATAATCAAGCCTTACGCATTCAAACATGTTGGTGGAAAAGAAAACGTGAGAAATAGTAGCGAATTTTAATTAAATCAAAACATTTAGCAACCATGTAATGGTTTTTGAATTCTATGCTAATGTGTTAGGCAGATGTAGAGGGTACCTCTGAAAATAGATTTTATTTTGCACACAGTTCAAGATTATGGTATAAAAAGATTACTGATTATATTAATGATTTTTATCTACTGAGAAAAGTATATAATAAATAACAATTTAGTTTTTATGCATATTTTATCATATCATTAAAACATTATGCATATTTCAGCACATCAGTAGCACTAAATTTTATTATTTGTTAATAACTAGCTTTCAAGTTTACTTAGAAATCGCATACTGTTAGAAAGATGAAAACTGAAATTTAAAAGTAAGTTATTAGAAAAAATCAACACAAAAACACAAAAACAATATTTTATTTTCAATTTATGCATTTATACAAAAACGAGAAACATGTAAATAGCGTTACAATAACTACGGATAAAAACATTTTAATTTTTTTTTTACTTTTTACCAACAATTTTGAGTTTAGAATTTGTGTTTGCAAGTAAAATACACTTGCTAAAATTTTTCACTTTTTAAAAATTTTCACAACATTTGCCACAGACTAGATATTACACATCTAAACCCTTCGCGCATAAAATATTTTTATTTCAACAAAATGTTTGAGCAGCGAATCAATTCATGCTCGATAGCCTGCATATAGCAAGCAGCATATCTCTACGTATGTCTTTCATTTTATCTTTCCTTTTTTGAGTTTCTGTATTCGTGATCAAATAGTCAATTATAATTGCTGTTGGAAATAAAATCTCACCACTTTATAACTGTATTCTTTTGTTTTAAACAGGTCCAGACGAAAATTGTGCAAAATGAAAAACTAGAGAAGAATGTTCTGCTTCGAATGCTCGTCCGACCTGAAAGTGTAAGTAGAATAAAAATTCGAGTTTCTTACCTTAAATAATTATCAAAAAACTAACCCTTTCAGACTTAAATCTCTTTGAAGTTTACGTACAAATTTAAATTATTTTTCAAATATGGTTTCAACATTGATTATTGTATTCTAATACATGTTATTTATTGGAATATATTAATATTATTTTGTTGTTGTTGTCCGGGAATTTTAGCTTGGCCTTCAATATAAATTAAGCGAATTTTCGGTAAAAGTAAAAATGAAATATTTATGATAGGGATTTCGTTTGCAGAGAAGTAGTTTTAACGGTTCTATTGGAAATGTTTAAAGTTAAGATATGTTTTAAAATGAGTTATAGTGCATATCCAGTTTCATAAGTAGAAATTAATTATTAATAAAATTATAATATTAATAAGACCAAAAATAGGTCATTTGCATTAAAAATCTATTGCAAATGATCACCTGTTTTTGACTTCATAAATTCAATTATAATCAAATTTTGTTAAAAAAATAATAATAATTTAATTACAACTAAAACTGTTTTTTTATAAATCAATTTCAAATTTTCTTGTGTAAATTTTCCCGCATTTTTCTGAAAGCAATTAATTTTAACAACTATAAAATTTATGCAAGAATCATCGAGTCTGAAAGGGTTGAAAGAAATTATGGAATTATAAAATATTTTTATAAAATACTTTTGATTTATATTGGAAAACAAAGCTAAGGAACTTCGCAGTTAATAATGTTATGGAAAGAGACAACTGTTCTGTTACTATAGGTTACTACTTAAAATGTTGGCTGATAAGTTTTACTTGAAAATACAATAAGATTTTAGAAGAAAACAGTTTTATATTTAAAAATCATATATTTTGCAGCATAAATTAATTTTTTTTTATTATTTAAAGAAATGATACTTTATAAAATTCAGAAGTTCACTTGATAAAATTTTTTATATGTCTGATCTTTTGAAATTTTTTTCGTGATATAATTATGTTATAAGGAACATACAATTGATAGAGAGTTTCATTAGTTAAGGAGTCAAAAAATTTTATTTCTCATAAATGTTATGTTTATATTTTTTAGAAAAGACTTTATGCTTTTCTTTTAATGATTAACAGTAGATAAAACTATTTTATGCTAAACTGGAAAAATAATGTCTAACTAAACCAATATAGCTGTAAATTAGTAAAAAGTTTACATTTTGCTTTTAAAAGGAAATGTCTTATGCGTTTATGCTGAAAGAAGTAATGAAAATAAAACATTTTAATCAAGTATGATAAAAATATGTTGTATTTAGAGTTTTATCTCTTTATTGTAAACATTGCTCTTTACAAGTTTTTTTTAAAATTTCTTAATAAAAAGGTTTGGAAAAGAACATTTTATCCGATAATAAATACATTTTTTCAAGACGACTTATAACCCCCAAGACTCCATAATAGAATAATAAATTTCTTTTTCTAAAGTATAATAATAACTCATACACATAGTTATTATATTTTATATGCAGAAAAGTGTCCATAATTCTAAATAGTTCTTTAACAATTAATTAATTTTCATAACTAATAATCCCCAATCAACTTTGTTTTACATGGTTTCAAAAATTTTATTGAGTTATTTTAATACATAAATACTTTAAAGAAATAACTACACATATATTCATTCGTTTCTCTCTTTTTTTCTACGTGAACTTTCAAACTTTAAGCTGAATCGAAAAAAAATCTCTTTTCAATAATAATATTTTTTAAAATTGCATACATACATTAGCATAAAATATATCTGTATTATATATATTTACTTTCTCATAGAAGCAACAGTTTATTTAAAAATAGTTAATGAAAAATTTCTTTTAAAGCATATTAACTTTTAATAATTTTGACTCACCAAGTGCAAAAATGTATTGCAATCTGCTTCAAGATGCATGCTCCAAGCAGTGGTTTATAATTCTTGGAGGTTCTAAAACATAAACACAGCTTTTGATGTTTTTCTGCCAAAACAATATATTAACTACAATACATCAAATAATATTTTACAGCTTGTTAATATTTCTTATGTAAAATTTAGTGTATTACATGCAAAAACATACTTTTTGTTCTTGTAATTATCTTGGTAAATCAATAACATCATATTAAAATGTGAAGAAAAATTAAATTAAAATTATTATTAATTAAATTATTATAATTAAATTAACATTAAAATTATATATATATTAAAATGTATTAAATTATTTTTTGATGATTACATAATATATCTTCAAGTAAAATGATTGTCACACATATAGAATTTGGATTATGTATCTTAATTTATATTAGTGTGTAATGGCTGTAGTAACTAAATTTTAAACGAATACGCATCTTTGTGTTTCTAAATTTAAACATATACGTGATTATATGAAATATTATTAAATATAACTGTTCCTCGAAATCTAATTATATTAATCATTCTAAATTTTATAACTGTAAATGAAATCATCTATTGAAAAATTTCATATTATTTATCTTCCTCGACACGTTAGATGAGAGAATGTTTGAAATTCATTTTAGAATTCATTATTAGTTTAGTGAAACTTTCTACAAACTTATAATTTATATTTTAAGATTTATATAAACATTTGATTATAAGATCTACTGATTAGATAGAGACAAATTATAATTTGAAACATTCACAGTAACAAATACAGAAAAGCTTAAAACCTTTTAATTACTGATCGCAACTAAATACCAAAGAAAAATCGCAATAACCTACCACAACAACTAAAATTCTCTTGCTAAAATAGAGATTTTAGAGTTACTATTTTTAATTTAAAGATCAGAAGCGGCATTTAGGCAAAACATTTTTGAAATAAAAATTGTAATTTTTGAAAGCTTGGTGGTGGCTGAATGCTAGCCTTCTCGCAATCCCATGTCACAGGTTTGGGGTTTTATCTTCAGACCGGTCAAGGTTGACTCAGCCTTTCATCCCTTCATTAAGTCGATAAAATGAGTACAAAGGGGACTAAACAGTGGGAGTTCCATGTTAGACTGACCATTCAACCGGAACATCGATTCCTACACACCAGAGTCCAAGGTCAAGAAAACTGGGATGGGTACAATAGGCCTTGGAATTCCATAGGCTGTCACGCCGTTGAGTTTATTTTGAGTTTAGATTAGTTTAGTAACTCCTAATCTTCAACTTTGAAATGCATTATCTTCAACGTAAGGTATGAAGTATAGATAATGAAGATAAGTAGGTATTTCAAAAGGGTCTACATGCTATTTTGAAATATCCTTGGAGACAATCCTTTGTATTGCAGTTTTTTTTTTCTTTTCAAAACAGTCTAGAAATTAATGGCATTCCTTTAAGATCTGTTGGTTTGTCAGCAGTTTATATTTTAGAGTAATAGTTTATTTTAATGAATAATTTCAAAATCAGAAGAATTTCATGTATATGTGTTCGCTTACAAAACAATAACCTGAATAGTTTAACAAAAATATAGGTTATATGCACTACAAATTTCGCATACATCTTCGCGTTATTTTTTACAAAGAATTTAAAATGATTGTTTAGTGATTGAGTTGAGTGAATTAAAGCTTTCTTATATGAGGGGGATTCAATGTCTTAGATGAAAGATTTTGTCATTTCTTCAGTACATTATTAGTAATTAAAGCATTTTAAATGCTGCTCTTTTATTGTAAGCCTATTTAAGTTACATTTTAAACTTTTTGTTTTTTGACCTGGACTAAATGGGAAGAGATCTCGAATAATATCATAACCAGATATATTTCTCTGTTCTGTTATTTAAAAAAAATCTGACTTAAAGCTTTTATTTATTTCAAACATTTAATTATAATCTTTTAATATTGTCATTAGCGCTAATTAGGAAATGTAAATTTTAATTTCCTCATTTGTGAAACAATTTACCTTCGTAACTTTCAAACACGTATTTTAACTTTCTTCTTCTTTTACCAAAGGAAAAAAAAATGCTAGAAAATGTTCAAATACGTTTGTGATTTTAAATATCCAAGCAGCTTTTTTTCCCCAACACTTGAATTATTCATAGTGTTTTAGCCAGTTTCTACTGATCCATTTCCACTAAGAACTATCTGGTTGAGTGCGGTGGGAAAATCTTATGGCAAACTAATGCCTCTCCGTTAAATATTCATTGCCGCTTCTTCACTTCAATGCAAAGTATTTCAGTATCTGGTATTTTTTCCCCTCAATTTTTTCTTACATTTTATCAACCATGGCGAAAAAGAGACGATCGTAGAGAATTTTGTTTACCCCGCGGATAGTCTTAAAACTGATTTCCGCTTGTTTTGATGTTGATACATCTTTGATGGAGTGTAAAGATGTAAAAATCAACTTTATGATTTTTCACTCGTTTTATTTAAGTGATTTTAAAAGATTCGCAATAGTTTTATGGGTGTATAAATTGAGATGTTGTTACAAAAAGTTTTATTTTCTATAAAAGGAAAAATAATGCGAATATTAAATGCTTTGAATCTTTTTATAGCTTTTCTTTTTACACTATTTTTGAGCGATATTTGATTGAAGTTTTATAAAACATGTTCTACAAACTGTCGACTGTGTGTTTTCGAAAAGTTTAATACTATTATTGAATTCAAAACATTCGTAGTTATTCAGCTTCAGAACACACTGGAATTGCTTTTGAATTATTTACAAAAAAATATATAAAAATAAGAATTATATGTTTCTGTTATCTGAACCATTACTAGTTATCAATTATATAATAAAACAAAGATTTTTTTCAATAACCGAAACACATTGCAGTTTTGCATAAAATGTGTAATCATTTGAAAAAAAATACGTGACTTCTAAAATATAGATTAATACTTCCCAATTGTTTGTAATATAGTGAACTAGAAATTAAAAATGGGGAGTTTTTGTATCACATGTGCTGATGACGTTCGGTATTTAAAATTATATATTATACGCTTGAAATAATTATATTTATAAGTTAAAATGTTAAGTTTCAATCTTATTATCTAGAACAAAATTTACAACCCCATTTTATAAGCTATTAGTCAATTTAAAATTCATTTTTGAGTTTTAAGAATGAATGTTTGTCATTTTAGGTATGTAAGTAGCAATATTTATTAAAATGTAACAAGTATTAAAGAGTTTAGAGATATAGCCCTTTCCTGCATTGATTTTGAGTATCCTTTATTACATTTTTTAAAACTAGCAAATGTTTAAATTTTTTAAACATTTTTTAAATAAATAAAATGTAAATTAAAGTATATGAAAAAGTAGGTGATATAGCGTTCTGTAATGTTTGAATTTAATTAGTATCATTTTATTATATAACTCCGGAGCATTTTATTTCCAGTTATAGCAATTGATATTGCTTAAAAATTCACCAAATTTATTTCTATGATTATCGATAAATATTTTTTTCCTATTTAGCATTATTATTATTTTCTCAATTTAGTTCTATTTTCAACAAATTTAGCATTATTATCATTATTTTTCTGGTAAAAATATTTTTAACAGTTTATGAAGAAATATTTTTGCATTCCAAATTCAGATAATTAATTTTTTTCGCTTTAGAAACAGAAGCATTTAAGTTATCAAAGTGTAAAAATTATTTTATAAAGGAATTTATAATTGTCCAAAAAGTAACGGCAAGTACTAAGTTTGATTTTTTTTCCTTTTGTGCTAAAAAAATATACTCATTTTAGGTTAAAATTTCAAACAAAAAATATGCATTTATTTTTTCTTCATAATTGCTTTTCTTTACATTTTGATCTAAGTTTTTTCTTTATTAACAAAAACATGTTTCAAATTAGATATTTAATTAAAGGAAATGAATGCGATATAGTAATAGACAAATTAAATCTATGTTTGTAAATATGGATACTTAATCAATCAAAGTAAATGGGAAAATGTGTGTACTGGTCGAAAAGTTACATTTGGAATTCAGGAAATAAAATAAAATATCATATTACATAACTAGCATTTCGATGAAAATTTTACTAATTACTCAAAATATTTATTTTTATAGAAGAAAAAATAATCTTAATTACTGCTGCATGTTGTTTCTGTAGTGTTTTATTTGAAACAATTTTTTGTATTTCGGTAGTGATTTACATTTTTTATAACTAAATAAGCATTTACGACCTACTTTGAATTCACTTTTATGGCTACTTTGAATTCCCTTTTATAATAATATAATAATATAATATATCAGTTAATCGATGCAAAGACTTTTTAAAAGGTTCCTGTAAAGACTGCATCTAAAAATATTATAAGAAAATTTCATCAAAACAGATAGAGATAATCATATTGAAATAAATATAGTTTAATTTAAAATTATGTTATCAGAAATTATTAAAATTATTTTATCAGAAATGAAAAGTTTTTGCAAACTTCTTTGCTGTATTTTTTGGACAATTATTTATAATTATAATTTTTGATATTAGAATGCCGCAGTATTTTACACTTTTATGCAGACATACACTTTGTAGCATGTAAAAAAGAGTTAACATGATTGAATTATTCATGTAAAAAGTCATATATCACGCATTGTTATATCCCTTAAAAGTTTTGTTCATAACTCATGAGAAGGCGTCATTTCGCGCCATTCGACATTTTGAGCTGTCCGATCTCGAACTGGGAGAAGTAGGGACATTTCGGACATTCCAATTACCTTCAGATGATTGGAGGGAAAAATGTCTATAGGATATATATTCCTGTGGAACATCATTCTTTACAGGTCTTCTTCTTCTCCGCCGTCTAAATTTAATAGCTGTCAGCAAAACTGATAGTGTCAGTACCAAAGCAGCACTTATGCTGCTTCCAAGTATGATACCTAAGGTAGATAAAGTCATTTTCGTTTTTTGCAGCTTAGCTAGAGTTTTTATCTGAAGGCACTTGTGATTTCCATTATCTGGAATTGTAGGTTGTGTTTTGCCTTCAATTGTAACGTATGGTATTGGTTTACCTAAAGTTCTTAGGTATTTTCCTGCAGCAGTAACACACACAGTGTACCAGGTTTCTGATTTCAACTCGTCAAGTTGGTAACGTCTTTGAATAGCAGGAAGAGGCTCACTCGATTTCAAGCTACTTCCTCTAGTTGAGGTGAGGTGATATGTGACGAGAAAATCATCAATGAGTGTTCCATTTTGCACATTCCATTTAATAATTAAGGACTCATGATCAAGATGCACTGCTTCTAAATCTTCTATGAAAGGTGCTGGACATATGTCTACTGGATGAAGACTTAAAATGGAAGTTTCTTTCAATCTTTCTGGAAGTATACAGTTTAGGTCTTTTATATTGCTTTCGGGATCATGGATCAGTCTAGTGTGCTCTTGAATCCATTCCCAAAAACTGAGTAGTCGACAATCGCAGTTAAATGGGTTGCCTATAATACAAAAATAAATCGTATGTAAATAAGTTGATTTTTTTTTAAAAAAATAATATTTTATATTTTAACAAAAGAGTACCAAGTATATAGCCAAAATTTTATTTTACACTATCTTATAACAATTGTGAACATTTTAATAAATTCTTAAACTCATTTCATTATTCATTTATCGCAATATTTAATCAAGTTGGATTCTTAACTGACTTTTTTAAATTACAGTTTGAATAAATAAGTCTAATATGACATTAGAGTTATTTTGTATCTTTATCCATACACTGTTAGAATTTTTAAAACACCATAAACCATATAATTTTTCAAATTTACAAGAACCTTAATATGTGTTAAGTTGAACTGCATTATAAAAATTTTAAATTTGATAACAAGATGCAATAGTTAAATTTGCATGGAAAAAGTGGTTCAAGTTAAACTCTACTTAGATTGCATGAAAATTGTCCCGTATTATGGCTAAAGACACCAATATAATGGTCTAATGCCGAACCGGATTTTTTACAATGTATGCTTCTAATAAAAAATTTTCCATCTGAATTTAGAGGCATAAATCAATTATGTACACTAAATATTATGGTGAAAAAAAAGTCATAATACGTTTCATAAAATGAAACTTTGAATTAATAATACAACGGAAAGTGAAGAATTTAAAACTACTGGGAGAATTAGAAATTATTTCTGTTGATATAATTTTTTAAAATCAAAACTGTAGAAAATGGCACGTGAGCTAAAAGGTAAATAATACTCCTTTACCTTACCTATTTCTATAAACATCGCATTATTCCAATATTATAACCTGTTGTTGTTGCTGTTGCTAATTCCCATCTGGTCTGACGGGGTCAGACCAGATCAATGAATCCGTTAACATTGAGAAAATCCGAAACCAGAATGGGAGAGGAATGAATATCGTTCCAGTATATTATAACCTGGCTATCATAATCACAAATAGGTGATTGAAATTGTTTTTTTTTTTTTGGGGGGGNTTTTGGGGGGGGGGGGGAGAATATTAAGTGTTTCCATATTTTGTGTTAAACGTTAAATGTTGAAAAGTGCTTATTTATTTTACTTCATTGACGCGCGCATAAATAACAAAATGATTGATTAGTGTCTTCCTGTTGCTACTTAAAACTGCGATGCATTCAAGCTTAGTAATGAAACCACCAATGAAATCGCAGCATTTTCGAGAAATATAAGTTTAGTTATTTAATTGTTTAATGCATTTACGATGGCAATTTAGCTTTATATTAATATTTATTAATCTTCGAATAATTATATTTTGCCGTATTTGTACAATTTATTATTATAGAGATGTATGAAAATTAGTACTTTCAAGATTCTATTCTAAAATATGAACAAAAGATCAAAGATAAAATATTATAGAGAATGAAGAAATTGTTTCCAACGTAAAAATCCGTCAATAGTAGTACTATATAGAAACAATACTATAAAAAAGCAGAACTGTTTCAGACGTAAAATACTATTTCATTGTTATTAAGAATTTTATTTATGTAACTATAAAGTATGCGTGTTAGATTTATTTCAAAAATTAAAGAACAAAAGAAACCTTCCAAAGAAGCATGTAAAGATGGTATAAACCACAAATGGGTTTTATCAAGTACTTTATTTTTTAACAACGCAATAAAGAGAAAAAGAAAAGCAAAAAAGAAAGTTAAAAAATGCTTAGATGAATATTTTTTTATTATAGGCTTACGCTTTACATTATGTAAATTTTTGGGTGGTAAACTCATTTGATTAATTAATATGAGATCTAATAAAACTTTTAAACGCTTTTTATATCATTTATTAAATAGTTATTCTGTAGTTATTAATGACCCTAATTAAATCTCACATTCACTCTTTTGTTTGCTCGAATATTATTATTAGCCTTAAAAAAACTAAGCATATTTTGTAATCGTGATCATAAAGGACAAAGAAGCCATTATTGAGCCTAGTTTTTCAATGTGATGAGAATAAGAGAAGGAAGCTTTAAAACACTTTCATTTTGTTTAAATTTGAAGTAGAACTATTACGTGTTATAAACACAACATAAAAAAACATCGATAAAACTTTTTTTAAAGTTTAACGAGCACTTTACTTAGTAGAAATCGAAAATAACAAAAAATAAAATAACATTTAAAAACTGCAACCCCGAAAAGGAAATTTTTTTATTTGTTACATAATTGATTCAATGAGTTAAAACAGGATACAAAGGTTATTATTTTTTTTAAACAAATAAAAATACTTTAAACGGTTTTATTGATAATGTTGAAAAAAGACAAATTGAGAAATAACTTTTTTGAACTTTTAAATTTTTTCTTTCTGAGTAATAGTTTTTTCAGAAGGTGATTAGATTTTCGTAAATAAATTCGTGTCAAAAAATTTCGTGTAATATTTAATGCAAAAAACAAACACTCACCGGCCAACAACAATTTGGACACTCTAACTTCTATGGGAATTAAAGTACTTGAACTTAGGAGAGTTATTTTATTGTCTTCAAGATTTAACTCAGAAAGAGAGCTGAGATCCACAAAAGCTCCAGACTGTATCCAAGTTATTTGATTATTCTGCATTAATAAAGTTTTCAAATTGTAAAGATTTCTAAACGTAACTCCCTCTACTTTGTGTAACTGATTTCCAGATACATCTAAATTCTCTACTTGCTCAATATCTTCACTGAAAACAGGCAGTTCAATTATCCGATTTGATGTTAAGTTTAAAGTTTTCAATTTCTTCAGTCCATAAAATCTTTCTTCAGGCAATATATCGATATTGTTATATCCAAGATCTAGAACGGTTAATTTTGTTAAAGGTTTAAAAGCGCCAGGTGATATTTTGACAATTTTATTATGACGTAACGATAAATGCAGTATATTTTTAAAACCAAGAAAATCATGAGATGCTATGACCGTTATATTGCCTCGGTTTATACGTAATGTTTCTAAGTGGTTAAAGCTACCGGTTGTGCTTAAGTCCTCTCTGATACGTACTATTGGATTTCGGTTAACCGACAGTATGCGTAGATTTATTAATGGAGAATTTAATAGAGAATTTGGAAGATAAGATAATAAATTTCCATCCAGGATGAGTTTATCTAAGTTTTTAAAATAATCAAACACGCCAGAATGAAAAGATTTCAGAGTATTGTTCGATAAATCTAATTCTTTCAATTTAGTTAAATTGGCAAAAGCATCTTGTTCTATATTTACTACATCATTGCTGCCAATAAATATCTTCTTTAAATTGCGATTTCCCTTAAATGACAGATGTGATACACTTGAAATTGCATTCTCCGAGATCGAGAATATTTCCAGGTTTGGTAAGTTTTCTATCGCCTGAGTTGGTATGTTTTCAAACTCGTTATTATCGAGATAGAGCTCTTTTAAAAAACCAAGGCTAGAGAAATGGCGAGATTCTAGAGTTTTTACTCCATTTCCTGCAAGACGTAGAATTCTCAGTTCAGTCATTTGTTCAAACATCCGGACTGTAACGGGACTTAGACCAGTGTTTTCGACGTTTAGGGTCGCTAGACCCGACAGTCCATAAAAAAGATTTTCGTTTGCTCCACTGAGGTTGTTTCCTGAAAGAAATAAATTCTTCAAAGAAGGAAGATAAAGAAAATCCACTCGAATATTACTCAGTTTATTTTCACTCATGTCAAGAGTTTCCAAAGAGGACAATTCTAAAAATGATCCAGCTTCGATTTCTTCCGCCATTGTGCTTGATAAAACGAGCTCTTTCAGAGGCAAGTTTCCTTCAAACATATACTTTCGAATAACGTATATTTGGTTATGTGATAAGTGCAATATTTTAAGATTGTGCAGAGTTTGAAATGTTTGAGGTTCAATATCCATAATTCGGTTGTGACTGAGATAAAGCTCCTCTAATTGAGATGCATCTTGAAACATATCCACGTTTAGATGATTGAGACTGTTATATTCTAAGTTCAAATAAAGTAACTGTCTCATACCAGAAAACGTACCACTTTCGATGGTAGTGATAGAATTGTGGTCGAGATACAATTTCTGTACTTCAACCAGATCTCGAAATACATCAGAATGTAATCTTATGATTTTGTTATGATTAAGCCAAAGAATTTCTAGTTTATTTTGTCCTAGTAAGCTATTAGCATTCATTGATACAATTTCATTGTGGGTTAGTTGAAGAGATCTGAGACTGGACGGGTAACGGCTTAGGATGTCATCTACCTCAAACATCTTGTTCCCTTGAATATTTAAATGTTGAAGATTAGCGAGCGACTGCAATGCTTCTGCTTCTATGACTTCTATTCGGTTGAACTATTAAGAAAGAAATATTATTATTTACACCAGTATTTATATTTAATATAATTATATGGCAAAGCAAATGCATTCAATTCATTAAAATATCAATGATCTTAATATTAAGAAACTATTTCATCCAATTATAAAAAGCTCTGAAATATTAAATGTATCAGAACTATTGGCAAAAAAGTCTGACTCACAACATTCAGAGCTCATTCTGTATGTTATGACGGTTTAAAACAAGATATTGATAAACGAACTTCTCCCACAGGTGGAATTTTTTAATTAAACTGTTACCAGATAGGTACTTTAGAATTTTTAAAATTTTTTTTTCTAACATAGTAGTGCCCAGAAACATAAAAATCTTGATGTATTTACCTGAAAATGGTCTTTCGAACAATTTGAAAAATACGGCTTATCATTATACTGCTGAAAGCTTTCATATTATATATTGATAGTATGGGGTATTCTGTAAGAAAATTAACTTTTGAATTTTATTTCAAGTGTGATAAAAAATTTAAATTTAATCTATTCCTTATTGTCTTATCCCAAATAACTTTTTTTTCCCTTAAAAAACAAAATTCCATGGTAAAAACCATTTTGGTCTGTTTTATAATTAGGTTTAATTAGGTTATGTTTAATTAAATTATGTTTAATAATTAGGGGATTTCATTGATTCAGGATCTGCACAAAATAAGATTGAATATGATTCAATGCTTGAAACAAAAGCGTTAATTTGTTTGAAATTTTACATTCTGGTATCTCTGTTGAATTGAAACTTGTCGACGGGAAACGTTGTAAACATTCATTTTCGAATGCTTACAGATATTTCAGAAACATGCAACAACATTTCACCTCATTCGAATGTTAAGTTTTCAATAAAAAGACAGAAAGAACATTATTCTAAAATCAAACTTGTTAAAATGAATATTTATACACTTAAATGTTATTTACACACTTTCATCAAAATTATTAAAATTTCTGTTTAGTGCATGAATTATTTATATTTTCTATTTTCTAAAATCCATAAAAGAAAATTAAGTGAGGAAAATAGCATTCATCTCAATACATTGATTTTTAATTTCATATAGATTACATTATCTTCTTTTTATGTCAAATATGGTTTATTGCAAATAAATAATCTTTTACATGAGTTCATGCAATTTATCTCGGAGCTGACATTGGCTTTATAATATAGAGAGATTGACACTACATACTCATCATGTTTTATGACAACTACGACCCAATGTATCACCTTATTATTTACAGATCATTCATTATAATGTCCCTATCAGGATCCATTTTTCTTTCACCGAATATATATTATCTATTGTTGTTTTTCCATAAAATATTACATTCCTTGATTTTCCCTCAGTAAGCAAGGAACTTACTTCAAAATAATGGTTGAAGAACTGACAATAAAACGGGCTTATTTCAACAGAAACTGACTGTCTTTTACTTTAGCACTTGATACTATTCTTTTTGTCAAATATATAGTTTTTACTTGTACGTTTGCTTGTTATTGTTAAGCTATTGATACATGACATACTCTAATAAGCCAGATGAAAATCAAGTGTATTAGAATAAGTTTCAATTTTAAATAAGTTAATGATTATTAATTTTGATCTGAAATGTTGATCCAGATTGTAGGATCTAGTTTGATGTATACAATGATGACAATTAATAAGCATATATAGTCTCCTGATAATAGAATTTTGATAAAAGAAACTATGCATTAAAATATATTGAATAAATATAATAAAATTTTTTTAAAAATCTCTAAATTAAATATTTTAAATTTTATTTTTCCTTTTTATGATGAGATGAGTTTAATAGTTCTCGGAATGAACTTTAAGTTTGCTTTTTAAAATTTATATGGCTGAGTGTATTCCGTAGTGAGGGATAAAATACACTTAGAAAAAAGTATGGTAAAAATTATCAGAATATGTTAAAACTTACTGCTTTTCGGACTCTATGGGAACACCAAAAAGCTTGCAAATTTTTATCGAAGAGTTTTCGTAATGATTTCTTTAAAATTAACATTAAAATATGGTTTTATGATAGATGATAAAATTTAGTAAATACGGTAAAAATTGGTAGTTTTATCATATCTTAGTATGGCATGAAAACCATTCATTTGGTTAAATTTACTTTTAAATTTTGTATTTATTTACTAAATGAGTGGTAAAAAGAACTATAGTTTTGAAAACAAGACTTTTGCTAAGCCGTTACCATATGAACAGAAAAATTACCAAATGAATGCTTAAAATACAGTATATTTTAGTTTATTTACCAGAATTATGATTTTTTTACCAGAAATATCATTACTATATAACACTGTAATTTTTTCTGAATTGATTTCTACGTGCAGTTTTGCTTTTATTGCATTATTTTAAACATTTTTACTGTACCTTAAAACTGTGGTTAATTATTAAAAAATTTTTAATCCACGAATGAAGATAACATCACACCATAAAATCGTAGTCAGCTATATCAAATAAATAAAAAATACGATACTCTGTTTCCATCTATATGTTTGCCAGAAATTTGGGTAGTGCAAAAGATGTAAAGAGTAAATATTGCAGTATCCAGAGAAAAATAAATGATTTGTAATAAAATTAGCAGACTATATTGTAACATTTGTGCCAGTTTAGAAAATAATGTGATTTTTAGATGATCGTATCTAAATATTTCTTAATGAAAAATAATATGAAAAATATTATTGTAAATGTAATAATTTTGAAAATACTATCACTTAAAATTTTTGATTAGTTAAACGAGGAAAGTATTTTTTTCTCTAACAGGATACCCAGAAAAAATATATATTTATTTTTTATAATTTAATATGAAAAATTGTGAATGGTTGAATATGAAATTAATTTCTTGATTTGAAACTTTTATAAGCTTATATAGACTGAAGGTACATAAATGTATGGCTGAGATACTTGAATATATTTATATAAAATTATATCCCAAGTAATAGCTGGGGAACTTATCAAATCTCATGCCAATGTATTCTTGCATATATTGGACAAACTAAACGCTCCCTTAAACTTTGACTTAAGTAACACGACAGATGCGTTCAAAATTAGGATAATCGATATTTTATCATTAACAGATATTCCATCTCTCTGCATAGTTGGAATTCTAATCACAAGTTAGATTTTTCTTCTGCTAAAATCATTCTATATTGCTGTTTCTCCACTGAACTTGATTTTTGGGAGTCATTCCAAATTTTGAAAAATTTTAATAATTTGTTTAATGACCATTCTAGTATTAGACCAATTCCCTAAATTTCAAAGTTTCTTCTAATTTGACCTGCTGACCTTGGGGTTCCCACTAAATCCCCTCTCACCTTTTTCTTACCTCCCTTTTTTATTAACTTGTTCCTATTGGTTAAACAACTTTGCCCGCATTTGTCTCTTTACTTTTCAACCATCATTTGGTGTTTAGACACTGAGAAAGGATCTTATTTATAGAAACGAAGCTATACTTTCTGTACTTCCGTTTGTGCTTTATTCACGTAGTATATGCTTGGTATAAAATTCCTGTTTTAGTATGAAATTGGATGCTAGAAATTCGGAAATAATTCAAAACCTTGATTTAATGTCATTTAAATGAGAAAAAAGTACTAAGTAATATTATATTAATTACCCACATGTTACCAAAATTAACAGAGATTGAGAGTAAATTAAAGAACAAATACTATTAAATGTACCTGTAAATGTAGTTCCTGTATGTTTGGCAAAGAATAAAAAATTCCCTTCTTAATGGTTTTGATAAGGTTGTTTTGCAGCCGAAGATCTCTCAGCTCAACAAGTTCTTGAAATGTCCCTTGTTGTAGTTCTGTGATTAGATTATTATCAAGTGATAGAGAGCGCAGTTCACGATTATTTTTAAACATTGATGGATGAATTTCTCTAAGTTGATTGAATGAAAGCTGTAATTGATAAAGATGGTGCAAATGATAAAATGCTCCACATTCAATATGAGTTATGGCATTATTTGGAATAAAAAGAACAGAAATCTGAGAAGTATTATAAAACGTATCATTAGTAATCTTTTTGATAATATTGTTAGTCAAAAAAATTTCACGAAGAAGAGTGAGGTTATTAAATGCTCCAGAGCTAACCGAATGCAAATGGTTGTAACTTAAATCAACAGTGCGAAGCTTTGAAAGATGACTAAAGGCTTTACCAGCTAGAGATGCTAAATTATTGTGGCTCACATCAAGAGATTCCAGTTCTCTTAAATGCAAAAAAACTGTGTCATTTAGTGATGTCAACCTATTCATATACAAAGACAATGAAGTCAGTCTGGGCATGGTAACGAAGCTTTTTTCATCGAGTGATTTTATCTTATTTGAGCTCAAATCAACCCTTTGCAAACTTGTAAATCTTGTAAATCCATCGTCTGGTATGTCTTCAATTTCGTTCCACACTAACCTCAATGTCTTAAGATTCCTCAAACGTCTTAGAGCATTCAGTGGAAACTGTTTTAACTTATTGTTGATTAAAATTAATTCTTCAAGAGTATTTTCAAGACCACCGAAGGCATATTCTGTCAAAAGATCAAGCTGGTTGTTCTGGAGATTCAAACTAGTTATCAAAAGTCCATACAAAGCGTAACTTTCTACTGATGTAATTATGTTTGAGTCAAAATCTAACGTTCGTAATGTTACAAGTTTGTTTAGTGAGCCTTGAGGGATTTCTTTTAGTTTGCTGTTCACTATAGATAAGCTATCCAATGTTAATTCAAGACCTGAGAAAGCATGTTCTTGTACCGTATTGATTTCTGTATGAGATATTTGAAGATGATAAACTGTTGAATTTTCAAATAAACCATCTGGTAATACTGTGACATTTGGATCAAGATGATAAATGCTTAGTGACTTAATAGGTGCTGTGATTTGTGATAGAGTAGTACGTATTTCGTCTAATCCAGTATTTGGACATTCTAGAAAAAGTCCATCTTCAAATTGGTAGCAAGGACACCATGGACTTCTTTCCCAGCGTGGACAACCTTCTTGGGACATGTTAGAACCATTGTCTGTGTCTTTTTCTGTTTCTTCCGTAGTTGTGACGCTGTTGCTTGAATTCAGGACAGTGCAAAGAGTGACGAAAAGAACAGCCCATTTTTGAAAACAAGAGTAGCCAACTACTTGTTGCAGATCTAACATATCTCATGTTTTATTCTGAAATAGAAAAGATAAAAGCACTTAGAAGATTAAATATTAAATAAATTAATAAAATAAAGAAATAGTTTAAATATTAAAATGGTTATGGACTTTTCTTCCTTTCCTTAGAGCTACATTTAGTTGTAATTTTTAAGTATCTTTATCTTATCATATGCATATTACAAAATAAATCTGGTTCTAAGTAATAAACTTGTAAGTCAAATGTATGTGAAATAAATACTCAGGTTATCTTAATATTCACAAAGAAACTACGCATATTTCTAATATCAATCAGAAAATAAGTTGTTATGTTTTGCTTATAAATTCTTCCGGATAGTGATACGAAATCAATTCGATATATCGAACTAAACAACAAATGAATAAAGAGGCATATGAAATTAGGCATGGGGTTTTCCTACATATACATAATATTTTTGTCTGTTAATAATAAATTGATTTTATGAATTAATATGAATTATTATTAAAATTTTGAGGCTGAAGCAAACATTGTGATGGTTAATTATAACTAAATAAATTCCGTAATTATTAATATTTTTTGGTGATTTTGATAACTATTAAGTTCTTTATAATTCGTGAAATGTTTTCACACTTGCCCCTAATATTAATTAAGTTTTACTGTATTTTGTAAAAATAAAATTAGACATATGTTTTAATATTTTAATTTAAGAATGTCAATTATGTTAATAAATATAATTTTAATTAGAAACCTTTTATTATATAATTAAATAGCGCTTGTTTTAGATTACTTTGTAACATTAATTAATAATATTTTAGTTAGAAAATTAAAGATAAGATTTCTGAAGTAAAAATTCAAATTTTGGGTTTAGGCTCTTGAAGTCTCGAAATGTTCAGTCACAAAGATTTTTAATTTTTTAAAAAATATTACAACCATTGTACTATATTACAATATTAGTAAAGTTTTTTACAAAAGTATTTTGTACACATTGTAATTAAAATTAAAGTTAAATCGTAACTAAAAGATTTAAACATTTGAATAAAAATCGTCCCATTTGTTTTTTTGAACGACTTACAACAATTCAATGGACATTCTTCAATAATATCTACAACTCTAAATTATTTAATGTATGGAGTGGATATTACAAGGGGAACAAAATTCTAGAAGAATTACCGAGCTGTATGGAATTGACATTTCTGGTAAAAAAAAACATAATTCTTGTAATAAAAACCAAAACATGGGATATTTAAACCATTTATTTCGCTTTTTTCCGTTCGTATGGTAACGGTTTATCAGAAAATCTGTCTTTCAAAATTATAGTTCTTATTATCTCATCCTTAGAAGAAATAAACTGAGTAAATTTAGCCATAGAATTGTTTTTTATGCCATGCTCTAAGGTGTCAAATTTTGCTGTTAATTTAACCAAATTATTTATCTTAGAGTTTTGATAAAGAAGAGAACATCTTTTGGTGTTCTCTTAATAACCGGAAAAACTGTAAATTTTACTATATTCTGGTAGTTTTGACCTTACTTTTTTCACATTTTCTTTTGAAATTTATTTACTATAAACATTTTCACTAAAGATTTCTTTAAATAAACGTTTTATTTACAATATTCCATCCCATTTCATTTTCTATAAAATGAGGAAATAATTATAAATTATTCAATTCTATCAATTATAAATTAATAAGACTGTAATGTCACTTATATTTAGCAATGAGTTTCTTTTATAAACGTTTTCATTTCAAGATATAAGAAGAAACGTATATTTTATAACTTAAGAGAATTTGTAAACCAATTTATTTTAAAGCATTTTTTTAAATGGATACTGTATTTTCGCAGACACAGTCTGATATTTTTCTGAATTTTTTCTTCTAAACTGTCAACAGTTTGATCTTTTGCTTGGCTTTTTTTTAAATTCCTTGCCATAGATCAAATGTAAAAAAAAAGAGAGAATAGCTTGGCTGCTAAAGAGAATCGCTAGAGGGTGACTGTTTATGAAGTATGCTGTTGACTTTTAATGTTATATCGTATTTTTATCGTAGCACAAGTGTCAAGCCAAAAACGTTTATGACATAAACTTTTGAAAATATTTAAAATAAAGTTCATGTGAAAAAAAGCGAAAAAAATTCTTTTCAATGTTTAAAACAATAAAAATTATTATTATGAAAATTAGGATTAATTATAATTTTCTTTAATTAAATGAGGGAACAAATGATACAAACACTCTAAAAATTATGTTTCGTACTGGAATATATATAGAAATAATATATTTTCCATTAATTTGCAAGTACAATATGCGAATAATAGTATGTATTAATATTTGTTATTGCTTTGAACTCATTCAGTATCATTTGTAGCGCTTGCTAAAATTTATGAAACTGTAGAAATTTTCTTTATAATAAAGAAGATATATTTTTTATGCTAAATTTCCGAATTTAATAAGAAATGTTTTTCTTTTCCTTCTTCTTTCAAATTTCAATTTTTAATAATTAAAAGTATCTTATGCATATGCACAGACCTGCATTGTATTCTTTCTATGAAGAAATGCTAGAGACATTTCTGCTCTAAAATTCTTTAGTAATAATAAAATTAGTTTTTATGATAGTGTGTGAGTTATTTGCACATGCTTCTATGTTATGCATCTTAAAATAAAAATTCTGCAAAGTATTGTGTGAGAAATTAATACATTTTTTTAAGAAGTATCCTTTTAGCACTACCTTCTTAAGTATAGATATTAAAAAAAGCAAGGACGAAACACAATTATTTGTTTAAAACATTTATAATTAACCGACAAATCTGTAAATTAAACATCAGATTATTCAAAGATGAACTAGCTGACATTGTTTTTTTTTACAATAGAATGTTTGTATTTTGCATAGCTTGAAAAAGTATAGCTTCCAAATGCCTTATAGTTTTATTTTAAATCAAAACATTTTGTCAAAACACTGCAAGAAGGTAAACATTTTGCTTTTATACAAATACAATAAGGGATGTGTGCTTAGCTTCATGAAGGACTGTGTGCTCAATTAATATTAATATGTTGTTTAAAAGTGTAAAAAGAATCTATTATGAGAGTTATAAATAAGTATCGATTTGTAAACTAATTCATACAAACATATAAGAACTAAACTACAAAAATATGTGATGCATTACTTTGAAATTATTAAACCAATTACATGAGGAAATCAAAAAGGTATTATACTACAAAGCTATACTACAAATTATTTTTGCAATATGAAAGGTTACTATTATTACACTTATGTTGTTGTTTTTGTAAATGAGTTTAATTGTTATGAAAATTTTTATACTTAAATAACTTTCAAAAGCCATATAATATTCCTTCTCAATAATTGACGATTCTTTGATTTATGAGTATTTTTTATTTTTTTAAAGTTAAGTATTTAATTAATGATAAAATTTTCTCAAAACGTATTCTATTTCAAAAAGAAATATTTTTTGAATGTATAATTGAAAAACTCTCTTAAACTATAAATGTCAGAACAGCAACTTATCGTATAGAGTTTGTTTCGTCTATAAACATATTTCTGTTGTTAATCATGTGACTCTATTTTTATTTTTCACTGTTTAAATTGAAATTTCTTCTATAAAATGTTCCAAGTTATTAAGGTGATCCTTTTGATTTTTTTTAATATGAAGAGTCTGATAATTCGCATAACTTCCTTGAACTCTCTCTTTTGAGAAAACAAAAGTTTAAGTAAAAACAAAGTTTTCAGGAAACGAAAAAGTTCAAGCCTAAATAATAAAAAAAATAAACTACTTAACTATACTTAATTATAAGCTGATGGCATTTTTTCTGTTTCAAATGGATTTACTTTTCATTGTTTGTTTGAACATTATTATTTATTCTTAATTGGCTTGACCCCAAAATTTTTTTTCCTACTATTTAAAAGATTTGGTAAATACTTCATGTTAAGATATATTAAATTTAAAAAAAACATAAAAATCTGGTTTGCTTCCAATATTAAATGTTATTGTTTGTTAAATATAACATTCAATAAGATAGATATATGATTATAAAAATTTTGTATACAAAAACTAATTTTAAATATAATATTTAATTGAATTTAATCTCGATTTCTCATTTCAATTTATCATTTCAATTACATTTACAGAATAGTTATATCTGACATGAAATTTTAAGAGACAAATTTTATTAACTTCATTGTTTCATTGAGTTGAAAAAGAAAAGTAAACTTTTAATGACATCGTTACAAAGTTGTCTAGAGGATAATAAAAAAGCCGTTTTCTTTGTATTCCAACCACTCGTTCTTGGGCAATAAAGTGGCCATTGGTCGATTAATGGCCAGCATTTTGATGCTTGACTTTGAGATCCCGGAGGAACTCTAAAATTCTCTACCATACTCCATTACATCGAGTTTACTTAGTGCTTTTAGATCTCGAGGGCTATATATATTTTTAATTTTTCAATTTTTCTAAAAATAATACACTTTTTCTTTACATTTTTTAGTAATACTTTGAAAACACTACTGTTCAATGATATTACCAGTAACATATAGCGGGTAGCAAGTACTTAGGATACAAAATTAAAAGCTCCAGTTCTTACTGCATGCAATTAAATTCCCTTTTATTAAATCATATTCTTCAAAATTTTTAGTTGAATTAGCGTTTAATTGTTAAACGTTTTATTGCTTAAGACATAAATAGTTAGAGCTAATTTTTGTTTAAAACATTTAGCAGTTATCGTAATCTATATTTATTTATATTAAGTCAGAGTTGATAAATTTAAAATTGAGAGTTAATAAGCTTACGTAAAATAAATTTTTCTTAAATATGGCAGCTCATATGCTCTTAACGTCTATTACTATTTTATTTATTGAGCAAATTTTCTTAATTTTTGATGTTACTAGAAAGATAATGGTTAGAACTATGAAATGAAACTATTAAAATGCTGGGAATATCTATTAATATTTAGAAATTTGTGTTGAAATCAGTTTTTGGTTTTTCGCAAATTTTTTGGTATTTCAATTTTATTTTCATAACATATTTTTCAACTTAA